TAACATTTGAACCCTTGCAATGTGGGCACTTTTTGTTTTAAGGGCTATATCTCCCACACAGCTGTTCTATATTGACATAACCCTATTCAAAGTAAAGCTGAGACTTTGCACTTCAATGGAGTATCCATTATTTTATGTCACATTGAATGTATTGAAGCAAAGAGCCTAAAGAACTGTCCGGTATGGACTACATGGTTTACATGTATGCATGGACATACACAGAGACAGGTGTGTTTCATTTAATAAGGAAGGGAACCAATCCTGTCCAGACATGAGCTCAGTGATTGAGATAAGAACTGAGCCTATGGGAGACAAGACACTCAAGTTCATATGAAGAAAGATGATTCCCATGAGAGAGATTGAGATTCACATTGCAACTGTAAAGCTTTCTGCAGTGTTTCCCAGAGAAAAAGACTGGTGATAACACTGTCTACAGCACTTTTATTGGAAAATAATTTCTTACACAATAAACTCAGTTTTGACTTTGGTAGTGTGTCTATCTGTGTGCATGTTCACAACCCAAATTCATTTTTTCCATTCCCTGTTTTCTCAAATTCAAGAAATTCCTAATAACTGCTGGCGTTGTTAGCTGTCTTATTAGATTGCTAAAAGCTCCAGTATAACAGGATCCAGTGTAAGGCACTATCCATAATCACTCTTCTATAAAGTGCTTTGAAAACAGCCAGGCTTCTTTAGTGAGGACCAGATGGTTCCTGTCCTCACTGTTGTGTGCCTGTGCTCTCTTAATTTCATGCAGACCCATGCACCAATTTAACCAAAGCAAAGCCTAATCCAAGGCTTAATAGAGTGAGACAGAGTGGCATTCACAAGCAGGGGTAAATACAACTATTACAGAACAGACTCCAATGTCTAGGCACATACTTGGGCTGTGTTCAGGCTGTTAATTACCTCACAGTGTCAACACCATGGCTTTAGTGTCACTGGCTGAGATACATTTCCACGGACGGTGCCTTCTGTCTCATATCAGAGATTGAAAGCAGCCCCCACAGCACGCATTGGGCTCTACCACCACAACTTGGCATGATTACCAAAGAGGGTAACATTCAAGAAGCCAATTGACAATGAGTGCTGAAAAGAAGGGTGGAGGGTGAGCAGGGCATGGATTCTCGCTTGAACTATTACCAGAGCCAGACTATTCTTTAACACTGCTCACAGCGTGCATTCTCCCTCTACTCAAATCTATAGTGAATTGAGCTGAAAAGGCAAAGCTGATTTATTCTCTGTGTAGCAACCTCTTTCATCCTTCATCCTTATGATTTATATCTGCAACAACATACTATTTGCGTTAATAGTGACAGTGAATGATCATTTGCTACATACAATAATCCAAAAAAATGCTGTAATCTACAAGATCCACTTTCTCTGTAATGACCTAAATTCATCTCCTCAATCGTACTTCAGGTCAAGCCTATTTGACCTTCAAAAGAAAAGCAGAAACAAGCTGTAACACATCACCTTATAAGGTGATTTGTTGAACTTGTTAGCAAAAATATCAATAATAGCTGGTTTAATTCAGCTTGAAGCACACCAAGCTGCAACCTCTGGGTTGAAAATGAAGCCAACACTTAAGTGCCAAACACTGCAGTTCCTCATATGACCACTTGAGGCTGGGTCCAAAATTGAGTCATCCCCATAGAATCTCATGTTAAAATGCCTAACTCTACAGCAGAAATAAACATGTTTACAGCCTGATACAAAAAACAATCTTGGTCTGTAGCTAATTTCCCCCTTTGTGATAACTGTACAGGGGGGTGATTTTTTTTATAACTCACCCATTTAAATTATTTACTCATTTATGAAGGCTTAAAGTTATGCATAATTGCGGCTGACTGTCTGTGTTAGCTGTCTGCTAGGCATCAGCTCAGCTAAATCAAGTCACTGAACATGACCTATCCAAAATTCTTCAAAAGGCACCTACACCCCAAACAGGACTTTGTGGTGCAGCAGCCCACATGCACTGACTCAAGCCACAGTACAGGTGCAACATAAAATATACCAATCAATCAAACATGGCAGAGAAGATAGACCGAGATGCCAAATACGTACATGCTGCAATACTAGAGACATTATATGCACATACGGATTACTGTAAGAGCACATGAGAAAGGATAAAAAACATGCAGGAAGCACCTTATAATAAATCTAAAAACATTTCCATGGCCAAACAGCCAAGTCAAGTTGCCTTTAACTTTCACTCCAAGATAAATCTACAGCAGCCAGCATTCCTGCTTTTCTACTGTATCTGCTCTTTCTCCATCATACATGAATCACATACAGGACAGTCATAAGTCTGTCACTGTGGAATGTAAAAGCTCACTACGGAAATCTAATAATCTACAGGGTTCCCCAGTGCAATCCTGGTGGCTCAGTATGCACATACAGACATCCAGGTTTCCAGGTCTCTCTTGATAATTATGTTAAGCTGGAATGTGCCATACATGCCTAATATCACACACACACACACACCGATAGACAGTTTCCTGATCTTGTTGTTTATTCTGTCCATCAAGGAATAAATCAAGATTTTGGGAGTAGCCCATTGCTCAGTTTACAGGTTAAGTAATGAGACACAGTATGTGTTTCTACCAGAATGTTTTATATATACATTTTCACACATGTTCTATGTGATATTGTTATGAAGCACATTTCTCTCACAACCATCTTCATTTAATTGGAAACAAAGCAAGTCACACTCATGGGTGCCTATCCTTATGGGATGTAGTCCATGGTTCAAAACAACATGTTATTTCTATCATATTTACTGTAAATCTTGCTAATTACTTGGCTTAACAGTCTTATCCATAGCATTCTAAATTAAATACTGCCTAATTTATGAGCTGCTACAAGTTCTTATATTCTCTCATTTAAGATAATGCTAGTGGCCTAAAATCACAGAAAGCCCTGGACCAAACTACTAGGAATGACTTTCACATCTATGCTCTCACCATTTAATGGGTGCTTTACATTTTCTGAGCTCTGTGTATTCCTGTAAGTTTTTAGCAGTTAAGGAACACGCTTGAACTGTAGGACAGACAGGGAATGTATGATTTCACACCATTAGCACATGATACTGTGATACGCTTCGCAGTCTTTCTGTTAATATCGTACAATTCAGGCATTACTTCACTCGTGCTTAAGCATAGCAAAAGCAGATGTTGCCTTTATAAAACACTGACACTTAGACAGTATTATCTCTTATTGTAGTCAAACCTCACTTAAGACTTTTACAAAATGTAAATAGACTGAGAATTGCAATTAGAATCATTTTTAATTGAAGAAATATGAAAAAAGTTAATTATGATTTGTCCTATTAATTACAACATATTCCATAAAGATTATGATGATTTATTTCTCCCATTTATTTCTGCTTTTACCAGTGGCAAATACAGTGCAGTCAAGGAAACTGACTTGAACACAGGAGCTTGGCTGACTTTTTCCTTGTATAATGATTCTGGCAAGAGTGAGGATAAATCTGTCTCGAGAGATGGAGACGGAAAAACGCTTCACAACAAGAGAAGAGCGAGATGTGAGTTCTCAAGGAGGATCGAAGCACAGGATGTGAAAGAGCGAAAGTAAAACCTAGAGGAATTCTGATTAGATGTAATATCTCCTATCTGTTCTCAGTTCTGTCACTCCGATGTGTGAAAACCAAAGAGCCCGTGTCAAAACAAACGGGACGGGAGAGCTACCTCAAACAAACAACGACATGTTCCTGTGAAATGTCTTAGCAAGAGGCAGGACTGTTAAAAACCTGTGGCAGGCAGGTCATTCCTTATGGGAAAGTCAAGGAACCAAACGGGAAAGCCTCTGCAGTGTGTGTGTTTGTGTGTTTGCAAGCAAGTGGGGGGTAGGAGCCAAATATCCTCTGTTCGCCATTTTGTCTCTGCGGGACTCTTCCAAAACACTAACAACCATCCTCCTGTTTGCATGTTGACGTAGACCGCAGGGGTTTGGACAGTAGAAAGAACAGACCATGCTCAGAGACAAGAGTAAGTGTAAGTGTTTACCATTTAATGTTGACAGATCCCAGATAAGGCTGTTCTGAATTTGACTACCAGCATCTCTAAATCGCTCTAATTTACAAGTTATATCTTATTTGCCTAATCCTCTGAGCAGCTGCCAGGCAACCAGCAGAGACTCCAGGAAGTTACTGCTTCCAGCCATGAAACCGTCCAGCACATAACAACTTGTAAAATGGCAAACTGTCATTTTTTTCCCAGTTTTTATGCAGGTTAAACAAATTACATTTACTGTATTAATTTGTGAGTTTAAGAAGTGTTTCTGTTCAACAGAGACAGGCTAGCTGTTTCCCTGTTTCCTGTCATTATGCTCATGCTAAACTAGCTAACTAACTCTTCACCAGAAAGCCAATAAGCATACTTCCTTGTACCAAAATGCTTACTTAAGTTACTTGTCACGATAAAAACCTAATTTAAGTAATCCAATGTATAGATGTATGTATGTATTAAAATGTTGACCTTCTATTCCTGGAGTGAAATATTGTCATATGTGACAGGCATCTGTTCTAGGCTTTTACTTCCTTAACCATATAAAACCAGAACTGCAGATGCACTTATTAACATATAGTTTTTACAGAGTGGAGGCTCAGCTGGGTTAGCCACAGCACTTCAGGCCATAGCCTTCAAAGCAAGCCATTTCTCCCAGAGAGCACTTCTTCTACCTTTAACTACCCAGAGACCCCCACAGAGTAGCCTCATCCAATCACAGCAACACTACAGGCTCATTCTGCGCTTGCAAAGTGAAAGCATAAGGTCTGAGCTGGGCCTATTAAAGCTTTAACAGCATGTTGTCCTCTGAGGATGTAAGTCAATTCACTGACTAACAAAGCTGTTCTCAGCTGTCCTTATTGCTGTATATTGTACATGAATGCCTGAGAGATGTGTGTGACAAATGGAATATGCAGGTTTGTAAATATTTATTTATTGTATTGTTTTTATCAGATGGGAATGGAAACTCACCATACTGGCATCGCGTCCCTTTGAAGCCCAACGGACACTGACATATCTGGTCTCCAGTCTCTGCACATTGGCCTCCATTGAAACATGTATTGGCACCACACACCCCTGCAGATACCACATAGCATATACCATAATTCTGGTGATGTATCCATGTTCATTATTGTCTAAATATTAAATTGATATATATGACAGCTCCATAGCAATATCAGAACCAGCCCTATGAGATACGTATATGTAAAATCCTATTACTCACTATGTAGGCAGCCCATCTCTTCACCCTTCTGAGTCCAACCTGGGCAGCACTTGTAGACTGTGTGCAAATCCATGTTGTACATCTGCCTGTACGCTGTGTAGTATGCTGTCCTGAGAAGGAGACATGCTGTTATAGTCACATGATTGGATTTTCTGGCATAGGTTCATACATATCATGAATATAACCTTATGTGTCAACATAGTGTGCCATATATTTAGAGAATCACATCTACATGATTTCAGCAAATACAAAGTAAAGATATGTTACTGTTACTCAAATGATGTCCTTGTACTCTGTCAGTTGCAAAGGACTATTGGTGTTACATCAGTAGTGTTAGTAATCAGTTTCAGAATGAAAAACACCAGTCCGTCTCCAGTTTTGCATATTTAGAGTTGCATTGTTCCTCATTTACAAGCAAGTAAATCAACTTAGGCAAATAAAAAAAGGGATGCTCTCCTTCCTTGATCCATCCTTTTTCACAAAGACATTGAGCCACATCACCCCAGGGTAACTTACAAATGGCAAAGACAAATGCATTTCACCAGGAAAACTAACAATTGCTTATGGATGAGATGTCAACAATAAACTGTTTGTGCATCGTTAAAGTATTTTTTGCTCTTACCTCCTCTCGTAGCCCATACACCATCTGTGGTTGGTGCAGCCCTGTTTCCACACCTTGACCATGCGGGTAAAAGCCTGGACACAGGGCTGACGTGCCCCCAGCATGGACATCTCCTGGTCAGCACAAACATTTGGCCTGTACATTCAAAACACACAAAAATAAATGGAAGATACTGTATACGACTAAAAAATCAGCAATAATTAAAGATAAAAAAAACACACACACACACACACAACCAGCATGACAGCACTTTATTTCTCATTGTTCTATAATATGTTGAGGTGGGTAGTTCACTGGTAGAGCTTTGAGCACTGGTGGTCTAAGCCTCCTGCAGGGCTGATGTTTGTATTTCCAAAAGACATGAACTTCCAAATATTCTACATATGTTCAGTTGCATGAACATAGCTCATCACAGACAGTGTTTGTCAGGCAATTATACAGCTTCCTGTTTGGTGCTACAGCACCCAATAAACAACCAATGAAATTCCACAGGAAATTCAGTTTTTGCTCCCCAGAGTTGTTTGTATGTTCATGTGTATGCATGCAATGATGTGTTCATGTTCATTAAAGGGCATGGGGGTTTGTAATGTACAGCACTCTGTCATAAGTAACCTGCATCCATCTGTGCTGTCAATGCAGGTAAACTGTTCAGAGGTGTCCTCCTCCACAAACCATCTGGCTTCAATACAGAGCAGCCTGAAGTTAATTAGAGGAAGTATTCGGCTTCTCCGGTAATGAAAACGATTTCTTCGATCCTGTCCAGCACAGGTCTATTTTCACTTGGAAACCTCTGGTAGAGTAACAACTAAAAAAATATTTCATTCCATTGGAAGCGATTATGAAGCACGTTACATCAGTGCTATAAAACACACATCCATCCTCATAGGGGACCTGAAAGAGCGACTCCTGGTGGGCATTGAACAGAGTAAACTATAAGGTAACAATTGCACCATAGACAAAAACAAAAACTGAATTACATTTAAAACTTGGGCTATAAATAAGTCTTTTCTGAATAGGCTAAGGCACGTTGCTGGTGTCTTATTATTTTAAAGCATGTAAAAGTAGGAGAGTCTACTCAATAAAATCTAATAAGTGCAAACAGTGGAAACGATCTAAAATACAACACCTTACTTACATGCCAGGTTGCAGCTCCAACGATGATGCGATGTGCATGGTGCTGAGTAATATCAAACACAAAATGAAAATATCTGGGACCATAATTTCAGCCAGTTACAGACACGGAGAGAAGTACTCAATCGCCGAAGCCTCAAATGAAGAGCATCCTGCTATTTATGGACGTTCGCCTTACGACATGACTCAAATGTTTATCTTGAAGAGATGTTTTCCGAGATCCAGACGTGATTCCTCGTTTACCGGTAAAGCATAGGGACGACTTGTCTTTGAATGGCTCCGAGTAAACGCACCACCCACAATCACTGAGGGGCCAGCTCCCAAAACCCCCGGTGACACGAACCTGTGCACGCACTATTAACCTATTAACACAGCCAGCCTTGATTTCATATATCCTCTTGAATAAATACATGATATGATAAAATGTTAAGTAGATTTAGAAAATAAATAAATAAATATCTCATAAATTTATTTTGTGTTAAAGAATTTTGTCCACTTTGTCTATGAAAATGAGAAAAAATAGACAAATATAAGGAATATCTTTAAATGTAATGCAGTCCAACAGGCACTATTGATCTAAGAACAGTTGTCTAACGACATGATTTTTGTTACATATATGTTTTATTGCAGAAAATATGACACAATAAATATCCAACATACCTCATTAATAGATGACATTTTGTAGGATATATATTTTACATTGAATATTTGATTAGATTAAGGTAAACTAATGTAGATCTAAGTGTTACAGCCGCAAAGTACAAAAAGCAGATGCATATACATTATGAATATCTAATATATATAATATGTGGCATGGAAAATACAGTAAAATACAATATATATGTATACATTGTTGATAAATTAAATCAAATTGTTCAAAACCTGAAAATAGATAAACTTGGACCAGATGAAACATCCATAGGATATCTCATGTTTGGACTTTTAATTTCGGCGCTTGGTGCTAATGACGTAACTTCCTCCTGAGTTTCTGTACTTCCTGATTTGAGTACGGACAGAGGAAGAAGAGAGGTACCTCCTCTCTCATATCAACACAAGGCGATGCTTTACAGCTACATTATCTGCCATACCTTCACTTAGCCGTGCCATTTGGAGTGTATTTAGAAGTTTTTATTCCCTTTAGGATTCGATTCGTAAATACTTCTTTGGGAGGTCGCTATCCTTAGCAACAAACAAAACGGTAAGAAACCGATGCTAACACGCTAGCTTGGAATGGCGCTAATTTGTTGTTAACCAAAACTAACCTCAGCTTCTGGATTTTGATAGATCTCCTGGCATTAAGTTAAACCACAGAGCTACTCAGCAGTTGGTTACAAATTGTTGCCAATATTGGTAAATGTACAGCATTCATGTTAAAGAAGATACATAGACTGTAATGCGAGCAGCAACTGTAGCAGCTCTTATCTGCTGCAGTCAAGACCTAACTGGTCCGTGTAGCCTCTCTTTGTTCCCCTCTGTCAGAAGATACTAAGTTATCATATGATTTTGGCATATGATGTGTTTTCCCTCTCTAACTCCTGCCCACAGCTGCACCAATATTTTTGTGATCTCTGTGGTCTGCAGTTTAATAAGCTGCACCATTAGAAATGCAGTATAACAAGTTCAACAGGAGTGATAATAAAACTATTAGAACACAGAGATCTCTCATGTTGGATTGTTTTATAGCCATAATGGTCATAAATTGCACCAGTAGAAATGCATGTTATCTGCATGTTGTGACCATTTTGAGGCTAACAATTAGCTCTGTGTTGCTAAACAAATTATTTCACACAGCCAAATGAACGGAGCAGCATTCCCCTCCCCTACGGCAGAGATGGCGGAGATGAACCGTATCCAGTATGAGCTGGAGTACACTGAGGGTATCAGCCAGAGGATGCGCATTCCTGAGATGCTCAAAGTGGCCCCTCAAGCCCACGAGGACCCTAATGTTGGGTCTCAGGAGGTCCCCCGCAGTGTCATAATGCAAGTTCCAGAGAGAATTGTGATTGCAGGTTGGTATACTGTAAAAAAAAAAAAAAAAGTGATGTTGAAAGAAAAGTGTTATCACAAACAAACTCTGCATGTCATTGATGCTGACAGCTGACTGTAATCTAGCTGTTATGTAGCTTTGTGATGGCCATTGAAAGATACTAGATATCCCTCTATCAATGCCTCAGGACTTTGTCCATCCTGCTCTTAGAGGCCTATTTAACAGCATTACTATTGTGTCTGTTATTTAAGACACAAAATGAAAAAAAAAAAACTAAAGGCACAATGGCATGTTGGTTCACTGTACGTGTTAAACTGCTAGAAGGGGTTATTCAACTTTAGCTTTCAAATCGCAGTACATTGTTTAAATTAAGTGAAATAGAGAATGTACCAGTTTCTAATTCTAAACTTCAGTACACTCCTCTCTCTGTCAGGAGACAGTAATGATGCCCAGTTCTCCAGACCCAGAGACCTGGACCTAATCCAGTCAACACCATTAGAAGCCCTATCACTGAAGACTCCACCCAGAGTCCTAACTCTCAATGAGAGGCCCCTGGACTTCCTAGAGGAGGAGCAGCGGGCGGCCCCAGACACTGAAGAAGTGGTACGTGATAAAACAATAAATTTTATGTTACTAAGGACACTATATAAAATCCACTCATTGACTTAAATAATTTCCTAACAGTAGTCCATAGCCTGAACAAATCAGTTGTCAATTTCCCCCCACAGTTACAGCCCCAAGGACGAGTTCGGCGGGAACGCTCAGCCAGTGAGACTGCAGCTGTCTCTCATACCCGTCAGCCGATGAGAAATGATTCAGCGTGAGTATTGGCTTGGATATACCGTTATTAGCCTGGTGCTAGCTCCATCATATCTCCTACATGTGTGCACTAGCATGTTGCATCTTTCTTTTCATTCTATGCTCTGTTCCTTTGTCTGTGTGACATAGCTGGTTGTCTGTTGTTTCCTGGCATTGAAAGCTGTTTTGTTGTGAGATGTTTTGCTGCTTTCAGTGATAATGCAGACTTCATCTTTTTTTGTCACTGCCACTAATCCATTAACTAATAATTTTTAAACAGCTGATATTTACTCATCACTTTTGATTTGATCATTTTCAGATTTTAAAATGTACTAAATGGCTTCAGGATTAGTGCAATAGAATGAAAATGTTGCTATTTAGTGTATAAGCACACTTAAAGGCCACACTGCCCTCTCAGAAACACTGTAGGACACCAAACAAAACACAAAGAAACCATTAAAGGAAAAGTAATGTTTTTGATAAAAATCTGTTCAGGTGTCAAGTGTACTTTATTTTTGCTATGTGTGCTCTGTAGCTTTGTTGAGGTAGAGCATTTAAAAAATATCAGCTTGGGGCTTGGTATTTGCCTGAACTAACACTTATATAATTCTGGGGCAAAATGTATTTTTATGTCCTGATTGCTTTCCGATGCTTTGTCGATGCCTTTAGTTCACATCTCCTTTTCCATTTCTGTTTTTGTTGAGTGTATTTTATGTTCGCAAATCACTGTAAGTGGTTGGCAGGTTAAATCTGTAGCTATTATTACAAAATTACTTTATTTACTTTCATTCAGTTGCAATTTTTACACAGTCAGTAAAGTTGAGGACAGTTTCTTTTCCTTATTTCTCTCCCTCTCCTCCTTCCTTCCCCTCTTTCCTCTTTTCTCTTCACTTGTCCTCCGAATTGGCTGCTCTTAATGGTGGGCACTGAGCAGTGCAACCTCGTCCCCCCCAGCCACTGTCCACCCTTGCCCCACTCTCACCGAGACTGAGGATGAGCACAACCTGTACAGCGCTAGTGGTGTTCTATCTTTCATCCAGTCCACTACACGTCGGGCCTACCAGCAGGTCCTGGAGGTCTTGGATGAGAACCCTCGCAGGTGACCTCCCAATCATCCGGTCATTTTTTGCTTAAAAATAAGGAAAAAATTTGGCTTACTAGACATCGTACAGAGAAGACAATGCGTGGTGTCAGTAGTGTTTCTGAAATGTTGTTTGCCCCTTAATTATGTTGGAAGCTTGGGAGTATTTGTGTAGTAGTCTCAAACATTATGTGACCATTTTCCAACTGACCATTTCTAACTTTCAGTAACAATATTAATATGGCATGTATTTATCAAAAAAGTTGTAGCAATGTTTTTCTGCATCTTTTGGTTCAGGCCATTGTAGTTACACATATTCCAGTCTAACAATCACTACTGAAGGACTGAAGTGTTGCCTAGTCACCAGCTTGTTTAGGTTGTGCTAGGACTTGTCAGACACGTTTAATTTAGCTTAAATGCCGGAGGAAATTTGTTTGTTGTATCGTCATCAGAAATAACAAAGATGCAGTGATGCTGAACCAAAAAGGATCCTATATAAAGGCAACCAGCCCTGACCACGCATTTGTCCTTGAAGCTACATGTTTACTCAAAACTTCTCAAGCGCATATGGGTCAGGAGAAGCTGTAAACAAATGATAGTGGAAAATGAACTGAGAGTGTGTGCAGCGGACGAGTTCATCACTGAGCAAAAAGAACCATAAAATACTCATATACACATTTTAGCATACACATTCCTCAGAGTTTTGCAACAGTCTGAACTTTTGACTGTTTGCCTTGCTGAGGACTGGATACGGTGAAAGCAGAAAGAAAAATCTTCTAAATGTTACTCACAGATGTGTATGCTATTCATACACTCTGCATACAAATGTGAGGTTAAGAACATGAAGAAATGTTTTGTAAATTACATTTCTTCATGTTCTTAACCTCACATTTGGTAGAGGAAAGATTCCTGAAAATGAAAGCTGTAGATTTTTTTTTACCTATAGAAGGATCATGAAAGAAAAACTTATTTGACAGCACCTGTGTTAGATACGACATTGTAAAAAAAAAAAATACTCTGTTGGTTTTCAGGACAACACAAAAATTGTTGGTATGTGAAGGATATGCAGGTTAGGAAAGGGTATTGTGTCTGCATGTGTGCAACACTGTACCATGTATGTTTCTCTATCTCTCTTATTTTCCCTTCTCCCAATCCTGTCTTTCCCCCACCTCTTCAGCAAACCATCTCTGCGAGGGGGGTCGGCTTCAAGCTCCAACCCCCTGCATGAATCCAGGTAACCTCACCTGGAATCTTCATTCTGTTCCCTTTTCATTTTCCTCATCTTTTCTTACCTTACATTCTCATTGCTGGGTCAAGATATAGGATTTAATTCTGGTAGAAAAATAATCTATTGTTGCAATTGTTAACATGACATCTAAAATATATGCTCAATGGCAACTGTTTGTGACTGTTTGTTCTCAAAGTTGCTGTTCCCTTCTCAAGGCTTGTATTATCAACATATGAAGCTACACTGGAGGGAGGGCCTGATGATATGACTGTGGTTGATGCAACAACACTTCGACGTCAGGTTAGTTTTTAATAAATACATTATCTCCATCTTGTGGCACGAGAACTAATCATGGAAACCCTGTGACTGACAAAACCTGCTTTTCTGATTTATCCGTAGCTCATCAAGTTAAATCGGAGACTTCAACATTTGGAAGAGGAGAACAAGGAGCGAGCAAAGCGAGAGATGATCATGTACTCGGTCACTGTAGCTTTCTGGCTCATCAACACTTGGGTGTGGTTGCGACGTTAGAGCCGGCCTTCATTTCTGCCATCACCTTGACAGGAGAACGCACTGTCCCTCATTCTGTGTGTCAAATGTTAGCTATTCGCTGCACTCAGGCCCTGTGTGAGGAAGACCTTGACACTTGTGCAAGGCCTGTTGCGCACAGGGCTGATATTTTGATTTTGTTTATTTAATACATGTACAGTTTTATTTTTTTACTCCTCTCTTGTTCTGTTTATTCTGTTTTCTCATACTTTCTCATGCTGTTTTTATTAGAGACCTTCTTGCTAAATGCTAAGCATGACTTGTTGTAAATATTTGTTCCTGTCACTCAGAGCTTTGGAAAGATCTCACCCAAAGCTACTGTACAACACAGTTTATCAAAAGAGGAAAATGGAGCTGTAATGCGGAGAAGTAACATGGTGAATATTTAATGCGGAGAGAGTAATATGTGACATGTACTGGGAAATGTAATACAGTTTAGTAAAACCACACACGACGTGTCGTCCTGTACTTTTATCGAAGCTTTATGTGAAAAATACACACATTACTATGATTTTGCAACTATGTGAACCGCTCTCACATTAGCCTGGTGGTAGCTGAAATTTAACTTCTTTTTTCAGTTTATATTTAAACTGGTTGAATTTTTTTAATCATAATTTCTGCTTAATGCAGAAATTTAATTTTTCATAATTTACTGTTACTGTAAGTTGTCTTTTTTCTTTAGATGCTCTGACAGGTTACAGAAAGTCCGTGTGGAGAGTGTTTATTTTTTTTATATAATATAGTCATTAACATTTGTGTTGCCCTAATATAAAGGCATGAAGCTATTGTTGTCCCTAAAGAAAAACATGAAAGAATACAGACCAGATCAAGAAAGATTTATTCTGATTTCATACAGTTTCACAATTAACAACCACATAAACAAAATGTCTGACTCATTTAACACAAACATGCAAAGCAATGAATAACCATATACTGTGTATCTTTTCAAAGCTAAATATTTTTTTAAATTAAAGCTGTGCTCTTATTAGGATTTTTATGGTCTCACATGGCTGGTCTACTGCCTGTCAGCATTAAAACATATAATTGAAGCCATGTCCTCTGAGACTGTTTAAACCTAAAAAGCATCAATCCAGCTCCTCAATCAGGCAGCATGGTGGAGAGGAGGTTTGGTTTGTCTTTGACTTTTCCACTGGTTCAAATACCAGTGGCTCAAAGGCATCCCAATCCCCTGGATACAGCAGTGATGAAGAATTGTGAGAGACTTCAGTGAACAAAGAGCTTTTGTCTGGACTTAAAGAGGGGATGGTCTCACTTTGGTTCCCAGTTGGCTCGTCCTCATCACTGCCTCCTGATATGACTTCTATTTTTGGTTTGAACACCTGCTGAGAAGAAAACATTGCAGTGAAGTCTTCAGTATCTACATCCTCCAAATCAGGCAGGTCATCAATATGGAGTAAGCTATGCAGTGGAAGGTGAATGGTTTCCAGCTGTTCTACATCCTCCAGCTCTGTAACCAGTGGTCCCGGACCATATGTTGAAACAACCTCATCTGTTTCAGGAGGTGCTGCCTTGACAGTCGGAGGCTGTTTCTTCTCACGCTGCTCACTCATGTTTGCCTGCTCTCTCTCTGCTTCATTTCTCATCAGCTGGATTACAACTGACTGGTTTTGTTGTTGTTGTGTGTTATCTTCTATTTTCTCAGTCTCTAACATTGCTGCAGTACTTTCTAGCTCTTGTGCTGACTGCTCTGGATTCACCATTTCTGTCTCTTCTGTCACAAGCTGCTTCTTCTGTGATTGGTCCTGGTCATCTTTCTCTAACTGCTCTCTCTGCAACCCATCACTTTTCTGCTCTGTCTCTCTAAGTTCACTTTTTGTCTTGTATTTGTGTGTTGCTTGACTCTGCAAGAACTCTTCATGGGCATCCAGGCTGTCCTGCACAAAGGCTTGGATCTTCACTTCTTGTGAAGTCAAAATCTCGGTGTTGTTTTCCTCACATGGAGCTGTGGAAACCTCAGTCTCCCCTGAAATGAAACAGACAGACAACACTATTCAGTCATGCAAATCCACATTTACTCTATGTCTGTTTTGGCATGGGAAAAGCTGAGAATTTTGTTCACCTTTCTCCTGTAGCTCTTGCAGGTGTCGTCTCTCCTGAGCTTTTTTCCGAATCATTGCCATGCTATCCAAGCTGTCCTGAATTTTCTTCCTCTCTCGTGTTTCCCATTGCTCCCTTTCTTTGCGCTCCCCTTCCAGCCCTCCCACTGCCCACGCCTCTGCACATGCCCTGTCTTTGGGAAATACAGGGCGATCATCAAGGAAGGTCAGCTGCTTGAGCTGCACTATCATGGTCTTCCTGTAGTTTGGGATCTTATTCACTACCTCATTTCCCATTAGATTTAACACTCGCAGTTCTGGCATTGCCTCAAGTACAGGGAGGATCTCAGGGTCATTTAACAGGTTGTGAGATATATCGAGCACACTGACTGCCAGACACTGACTCAGGTGCTCTATGTCCTCCACAGTTTCCAGCTTGTTATGGGCAATTTGCAGAGTACTCAGGTCAGGAAGGCAGGAGATGTTCTCTATGGTGTGGATATAGTTGTTAGAGACATTCAAGGTGCAGAGTTTTTTCAGATGTTCAAGGTTTTCCAGTTTATATATGAGGTTTTGCTGAAGGAACAAGCAGCGCAGATCAGTCTGGGCATCCAGGTTCCCTATGCGTTGAAGCCCATTGCTTTCCAGCCAGAGACACTTCAGTCCTGTGTACTCCTCTAAGTTCTCAATGGTGGAGAAACCTTTGAAATGCAGGTACAATGTGTCATTCAGGCATGGTGTTGAGTAAAGTTTGTTCTGCTTACAGTGGTCTTTCAGGAATTTCTTGGTCATTCGAGGCCATGACTGCTTTTCTGTTTCCTCTTGAAGTGGATTGTGCCGTTTTCTGTCATTTTCCTTGGTTTCTTGAGCTCCACCCTTTATCATGGCATTAAGGACTCCAGTTTTAACAGAAGTTCTTTCGGCATCTCCACCTTCCGTTTGAGCTGCTTCTTTATCTTCCATTGTTTCTTGGTATTCACCAGTGGACATTGCCAAAAAAATATATCGAAATAAGAAGCAGACGAAATTGAACAAATCTCTAGTAGTCCTGGGTATGTTTAATATCTGTCCGATTCGGTAAATTTCAGTCTCTTAGTCTGCTCTTTAAGCTAACGTGAGTTAACGTTTATGCTTGTTTCCATGGTAACGTTTGGTCATTAAATTAGGACCGGCCTGGCCGGATATTGTTACTTGTTCCGCGCCGAACACATTTAGCTGTTGCAATCCGCTGTCACTGGATCGACATGGCGTCAGGGTACATACTAAATCGTGGGGCGCTAACATTAGGAATTCATTGCCAACGTGTTTGCAGAAATATATCATTATCGCAGGTTAGAGAGAAAAAGCGATGGATGAAGGCATACACATACCTCATGGCAAAGAAGTTAAAACTGGAGGGACCGCCACCACCGAAGCCACGGTAAGGCTAACGTTAGCTAGCACAAGAGTTCACTAGAGAGCATTTCAAGGCCATTAATGTATTTTATATTTGTCAGTGTGTGTTTATTAGTGTTAGCCGTTTGAAAAGGATTGATATAGATAACATTATAGTTGCATCGCTCAGGTTTTCACTGCAGACTTGTTAACCAGCGTGCAGGTTACTATTTACACAGTTCTTAAAGTAAAGCCAGGGGCATAGCTAGAAATCTTGGTTATATATTGGTGGAGTTTAAGATGAAGTTTTGCTCGTAATCAGCAAATACGCTTTCCTTTTCTGCTGTCATAAAGAGTTTTAATTCCAGTGTACAGTAAGTAAGAATGTCTTTATCAGCATAAATGCCACTAAACTGGGATTTTTTTCAATGCGTAACCTCACCAGCACCAATCAGAAGTAGTCACCATTTTCACGGTTGATTAACTCAATGTTTGACTTTCTTTCAGCTCTCAAAAACCTCTCTGGGATTACCATACTGAGGTTCAGGCTTTCAGCACCCGTCTCCATGAGAACTTTTCCTTGGAGCTACTCAAAACAGCCTTCATCAATCCCTGTTACCTAAAGGCTGAGCAAGAGAGGAGACAGGGGTTGGGCGTGGACTCTGAGACCACTGCTCTTGTTCTGAAAGATAATATTCAGCTAAAGGCAAATGGTGCAGGTTTCACCAAAAGCTTCCTGACCGACTGGTGCAGGGCCAGCTTTCCGAGCCTGCCCAGCGAAGGAGTGGAGAGTATCGTGGGGTACCTCAACAGTTCAGCAGTTGTGACCTATGTAGCCAGAAATCTCGGCATTGAAGACCTAACCATGAGTGCAGAATTCCCTGTTCCTGATGATGTGCTCCATTCTACATTCATGGCAGTGATTGGAGCTCTACAGGAGAGCAGTGGAGCAGAGCGAGCAGGATTCTTCCTAAGGGTAAGGTGCTTGGAGTACAGTAACATGAACGCTCACTGTCTGGCTGAGTTCTGGTTCTGTTGTCTCCACAGCAACATTGTATGACTTTTTCTTCCTGACCTCACCTTTGACTTTTTTCCTCTGTAGGATTTCCTTGTCACTCAGCTGATAGGAAAGGACCTGTTTGATATGTGGACAGTGGTCAACCCAATGGGACTACTGGTGGAAGAGCTTTCTAAGAGGAATATCTCTTTGCCTGAGCCTCGCCTCATCAAGTCTGCTGGAGCCAGCACTGTCCTGCCACTATACTTTGTTGGCTTGTACAGGTATGTGTGCTGTTGTGGATGCTGTTACCCAAAGTACAGTAATAAATTAAGAGTTTTAAATTAATATAAAAGGTGGAAGCTACAGCTGACATGTCCAAAAAATCACCTGACATTACAAATTATACTTTTGCAGTTTGAATAAGATGCAGATAATTTATAAAAGTTGTGATGGCGAATAGTATTCTGTGTATAATCTGCCTATGTTATTTATTTTTTGTCTGTACTCACCTGTGTGTTGATTCAGTGATAAGAAGCTACTGGCTCAGGGTCCAGGAGAGACACTCATGGCAGCCGAGGAGGAGGCAGCTCGTGTGGCCCTCCGGAAACTCTACGGCTACAATGAGAACCGCAGACCGTTTGACTTCTCTCCACAGCAGCAGGAGCATCGGCAGCCATTAATTCAGTCAGTCAGCAGCAATTAATGAAGTAACAACTCATGTACTGCAGCAGAAAATCATTTAAAGGGGTGAAGTCGAAAACCAAAAGTAGCTTGAACCTATTTAAAAGGTCATTTCAGATACAGTACATCTTGTTTGAGGAGTAGAAACCTGCTACAGATTGTAAGGAGAAAGTGAAGGAAGCTGGGGTCACCATCTACCTTGTTAAGCATCAGTCCAACAGTGCACTTGTCAGGATTGATTGAAAAGGAGACTAAAAAGAGCCTTGATGTCCAAATAAAAGGTGTGACTCTGGTGTGAGATCCAGGTTTCCCCTGAATTGGGCAGTAATCTAATCTAACCATTTTTGAATAAACTGTATAACATAATCAAGTGTAAAGTCCATCGCACAAAATAGTCCTGATATGCGATTGTTCTTGTAAATAATACAATTGCCATTTGGTTTACTTGGTATTCTATTATTAAATGTTGTTCTCTATGTAATCTGTAATAAAAAGTCATATGTATGTGTACATCCTAACTCTGTTAAGGCATATTTCTTTGGATCATGACTTTTCCCCATAGATACCTACACATTCATTCTACTTTCCATCCGAATTTTGAATATATCATCTGTTTAAAATGTCTATAGGCAATGGCAAGTATCTTTCACATATCTCCATGGCACATGATTAAGTGACTGACTTAGTCTAGTCCCAAGAAATTGCTCATGTTGTCCACCTGCTTAAGTCATAACAAAATGCATTCACCATCCTGCAACTATTAAAGTTTAGATTTCAAAGTGTATGTCTAAAGGATTTTTCTTTAAGCTGGAACTCTGCGGAGAGTGAGCTGATGAGCAGTCAGCTTTTCAGGCAAAAGAAAAACATTTTTACAGACTAATCCTTTGGCTTTGTACATGCATGCTTTCACCCTTATTATTTATTACATGTTTTGCTTTGTAATATTAATCAAATTAAAATTCCTTATTGCATTAAATCCTTCAGCATCCCACCCCCATAGTGTTGCAGTGACAACGCTAATCCGCATAGTGGCGACAGTGTGTTTAAAAAAGACTTGTAGCGGTCTGTGGACTGTCAGTACAACCAAGAAGGTCTAATTTTAGAGACAAGATAGTTAACACCCTTTTCTAACCCTCAGAACCTGGTTATTTTACACATGAAATTCCGCGGACTAATAACTTTGAGCCCTCCGTATCTATAATAATGTTTTCAATATATTTCACCATCCAATAATTGCAGGTAAACGAACATACATATTTGATAATAGCTGGAACACGAATTACTCTTCATTGTCGACGCCGGTTAAAACTGCGTACTATGGCTCTGCGCAGTACATATAGGACATCTGAGCAACATTACTGTCGCGTGCGACCACTACGTTGAAAGAAAGTCACCTTAGATAATTGTCACAACAGATGTGTCTCAGGGAAAATTTGCTGAAAACCTTTTGGAACGTAATTGATATATGACACTCATATTTGGCTCTGACACAAAGAGAAGCGGTGTAGTCTGTATAACGGGATTTAAGCGAAGGCGGAAGTAGGTGGCAGTAAAGCTCTTGCTCCGTTAGTGAACGTGATCCAACGCCTCAAACTCCTTGTTCGAGGAGACGCGAGGCCGCCGTGACAACAGAGCGACCTGCCCATTTCTTCTCTGTCTTGAACACGGGTCGGCAACCGTTAAAAAGCACAGCCCTTTGTCTTAGTTGTAGCTGACCCTCCTGTCTCCCCCGGTTTTATTTAATCCTGCTGTATATCCCTCACCATGGCGGCGAGTGCTAAACGAAAACAAGAGGAGAAACACCTGAAGATGCTGAGAGAAATGACGAGTTTGCCTCCCAACAGAAAGTGCTTTGACTGCGACCAGCGCGGCCCAACCTATGCCAACATGACTGTGGGCTCCTTCGTTTGCACCTCCTGCTCTGGCATCCTGTAAGTATTAAGTTACTGGATGACCTTAGCTTAGACATGGCGCACACGATATAACGTTTTAGCACGCTTCAGCTACATACCGTAACCTAAGCCAGCTAGCCAACTAGCGCTAGCTAACGTTAGATAGGTAACCAGTAGTGTCAGTGTGAGTTTTGACATTGTCTTGCTGTGCTGTTGGGCGGGGTACGTAGAAGTGCCAATGCTCAGCACAGCAAGCTAGCAACCACCCGAGATGCTAGGTAACTTCATCTTTTACTGCTAGCTAGTGAACTTCTCTGGCACTTGAAAGCTAGGTCTGCGGATAGGGTCAGTGAACAACTCTTACTACCAATTGTTGGCAACGTTTGCAAGCACCACCTTGTAACCTGGCTAACTAACGGTTATGGTATACTCCCCACACACATACACATGAATACATGTTTTAATTCTCTGTTGGTCGAGGTTTAATTTTATATCCGTCGGATTTATATTATGTTGCTATCTCTAACATTACTTAATGGAACCACACTGAAAGTTATCAATTTTCTTTCAGTAACATTCTGTTTTCATTGCTAAGTGTTATAAGATGGTACCTAGGTTTGTGAAGGCCACATCATTTTGAGATGGAACTGATAATGCAGTACCGGTATTCATGCTGTATATAGTCCAGGCATCTACAGTATCTTTGTATCAGATTCAAAAGCATTACTCTAGTTAGTCTCTAACAGATGTACATTGAGGAAAAAATACTGACATGATTCTCACTCTTTTGGTTGGCTGACTAAAACATTTTGTATGAATTCACTCATGTCAGTAGTTTACCCCTACAACAGCATAAGAACCTTTCCACAGCATTGAAATTTTTTCAGTGTAGCTGGGTGTTTGACTTTAGATAGCGTTTGCCTGACTTACAGCTTTGCTCTGCAGTTGTGTAACCAAGCATCTGTAGCTTGGGATTTGGGATTAGTGAAGCATTCCGTTTCTTCTTATTCAGCTAAAGTATCCCACCTAAATTCAGCTGTCAAATGTTGCATGGTAAAAATGTTTTTGTGTGTAGATAGATGTGATTTTGGCCAGATTTAGAAAGAAATCCAAAGTAGTTTGATATATTAATTACAATTATTGCATGATTCTCCTAAAGGTTTTTTAAAATGTATTTCCTAACAAGTGGCAGACTGACATTCAACTCTGAGGAAATGTTTGTCTTATATTATCCATAATGGATGACATTGTGCTAATTGGCACATAACCACTCTCCTGAAGAAAAATGAGGATTTCTCTGCTTTCTCTTTAAACTGCATCGACATTTGGTTCACTGGAAACCAAATTATGCCCACATACGGACAAATTAAAGGGAAAAACCTGAAAAATGAGTGGAGAAACGGATGACAGTGCCCATATCCATAGAGCACAGGGGGTCACTGAATGGTTTGATGATTATGAAACTTGGACCAGAGTGTTAGAATGTGCTCTGAACCACCATCATCAAAATTACAAATGAAATTCTTTCAGAAGAATGGTGTTCATCCCTCCAGTAGAATAGAGACTTGTGGAATCAATGCCAATGTGCATTGAAGATGTTCTGGTGGCACGTGGTGGCCCAACACCACGTGCCACCAGAAGGTGGCCCAACACCTTACTAAGATACTTTCTGTTGATTTGTTTTTCCTTGTATTTGTCACTTGTCAGTACATCAATTGCCCCCCAAAAAAACTCACAGTTCAGTTTCCCCCTTCTTTTTAAATTTGAAATTCTGAATCCCATCTTTTCACACAAATAGCTTATCTTGGTTATTGTAAACATATAAATAATGTTTGTAACAAAAGCCTGTGTAATTAAAAACACTTAAGAATAGTAAATTGACAGTGGCCTATTAGCAGGTAATTTAATAAGCTGTTCATTTGTCCATCCTGTTCTGCTCATTCACACTGTCAGCAGCCTGCACTGGTCTGTCTTAATGCTTTATGGAAATAACCCTGCCATTGTCCATTTGGCAACGATAATTCTAATAATTTTGCAGGGGAAAGGGAAACTATTTGTTGCTCAGTCAGTAATTCTCTACTGATGACCTTTTAGATTTATTAGTCGACAGAGGAACAGATGACTGCTTTGACACATTTTAAAATGGTCAGCCCCCCAGACTTTGCCTAAGATACCACCCTTGTTTGACTAGGTTTGTGACCTTAATCTGTGCAAACTGTTTTAGCTGTCTCCACTTTGAAGGTTATTTACTGTAGTACTGAAAAGAATGAGATTAATTGTGTGCTTGCTGATGGGTAGAGCTTGCCCTCCATTTCACTTCACCAGTGGGTCTGCAGGGACTCCACTGTGAATTTCCCATCTGCTCACCCCATAGTGTTAAAGTCTGTAATGTGAGTTAATTGAGTTCTTTTATAGCTTGAGATCACAATTTCTCCCATTTTCTCTTCTGCTGCCAATCTCACTCACTTTTTATTTTGACAAAACATGCTGGCGGCGGGGTGGGGGCTAGATTCATCCCAGCAGAAGGGTGTGGGTTTTGAAAGGATTGATGTCTGTCAGATGTATGCAGGAAGCCTGGTGTGATTGTAGGCTCAGGAAGTGGTATGGTCTCACCGTGCTGCAACATCAGCAGCATGTGATTTTATATGTGCAACAGGAAGTGGCAGAGAGGTCACTGTCTGCCTCTCACTTTCCTTTTTAATTCTAGAGAGGCAAATATGTTGAGCATTGTAAGAGAGTACCTAAAAATTCATTCTCAGACTCAATGTATTGTGTTGGTTACCATTTTACTACTATGATTTTTTTTTATGAATAAAAAAAGTGTAAAATATACAATATTTTGTCCTCCACAAGGCACAGAACAAAACCCCTCAACACAGACATCCATCTCTGTATATATCCTCCATTTACCATGAAATATTTTGTTATTGGTTCAAAAAGAGTCTTTTAAGTCCTAAACATGTGAAAGATAGGGACATTACTAAGGCAATCTTAGAAGTGGTCTTTGTTTTATGAAATTTGCAGGTTGTGCAGTAACAGTGTTTACTTGTTTAGGGGCACGACTACCTACTTTAAGACACTTTTGCCCCCATAGTTGTGGTAGTTTAATGGGTGGAGTTGGAATCTGCTATGTAAACACATTCCTTGTGAAGGTGGAGGCCTTCCCAGGAGGTACAGCACTCACAATGACTCTTTCTGGAGATTTGCTTATAGCAGGAAGTAACCCCACATGGCCTATCTGTTCCTGAGTAAAGCATGGCTGCAACAGTAACTAGGAACATCACAGAGGTGGGGAGGTGCCACTGAAACCAAATGTTCATGATAATATTAATCAATGGCATGTTAGCAGACATGACTTGAACTCTAAAACAATGGATGTTTGATTTCCCTGTGTTCCTGACAACATTTGACCTCTTAAAAATTTGCGCTGTAAAAGTGACAAATTGCTGATGCTGTAATTTGATATAAATGCAGATTATGTACTGAGATATTGAAATTATGAAGAGGCATTTTCTTTGATAAAAGGTAATTAATACAATTGTTGAATGTGTAAAAGACATCCATTTGATAGGGACTTAGAGCAGCAAAGTGAAGGCTGGTGCATAGCCTCTTCTCTTTTGAGACTTAACATTGCCAGTTTCTCTCACCCTGGGGGTGTTGCACTATGCAAATGAACTGACTTCCCCTGGCTTAGCTGGTCTGATGTACAGTAGCGACTAGGTCATAATTATTTCACTGTGCAATATGTGATACTGTAATGATGTAGATTTTGAACGTGGAAACTGGAGCTGAGCAATGGTTTGATTAAATTGTTAATCAGTGCTTTACAGATATTGTTCATGCGTACAATACTGTGTTGTAAGAAGTAATTTTATTACTTTATTTTACCAAATTAATAGTTACTGCTGTCATTTCATTCTCCCTATAAATATCATACTGTCACTGAACACTCTCACAATTGTATAGCTACTTTGTCCAGCAGAAATAGAGGGTGTGGGGGTCTGTAGGACCATAACATTGTGTTGCTGGGCTCTGTACCAGACTGGAATCTAGAACACAGGAATTGCCTGACAGTCGTAAACCACAGTCACTGGATATAAAAGACCCCAATTATAAGATGGTTCCCTCTTCTACAAGTTTTGGGATAAGACTTTTGAAAGTTGGGAGAGGCTTTGAATTAAAGAAGAGAGGCAGAAATGTATTTAATGTAAAATAGAGTAAACTAACAAAAACAAAATAACCACTATCAGAATTCCTTAATTGGACAACTGGGTAGAGATGCTGCCATAATATTTAGGCCTTAAGGGCTATGGAACTTCCTCCCTGTGTTTGACCCAGTTTCATCTTCATGAGACTAGGATCTGATCACTCACCTACCTCAGGGCGCTGAAAAACACATTGAAGCTCAAATACACAGAGACTCATTCACACATTCTTTTCTTCTGCTTTTCTACGGATACATTTATTTGTGACATTAGTTTATTGCTTCAATAATCTAAAAATGTTCAATAATCCAACTAGAGATGCAACTAATAATTGTAAAATTAAAATTTTAACAACCTTAATGTCTTTTTTTGTGGAATGTGCAATGCAACCTTTCCCTTTTTTTTTTTTTTTTTTTTTTAAATAAATCATACCTCCGCGTCAGCAACAGCCGTATTCATCCATCCATCCATCCTCTCCTCAGGAACCGCCTGGTTGGAATTTCATACATCTGACGTCCACTTGGACTACTCAAGGATAAACTGATTATAATTTTGAGGTCAAAGGTCAAGGTCATTGTGACCTTACAAAACATGTATTTGGCCAAAACTTAAGAATTTATATATTAATTATAACAAAATACATGTAAAACCTTATATTAAAGACTTACTACATTACATATGCAGTATTATGAGTCTGGACAAACATGTAAACTGCAACATAACTGGTTGGCGGAGGCATACAACCATGAGGCAGTAATTCTAGTTTGTTGATTGATTCATTATAATTTTTCTGTCTTTATGGTTAGGGCATTTAACCAGCTTCTGATTTCCCTGGTAAATCCTGCAAATGTTGAAATACAACAGTTGTTTTCTGTTAGGTCTGTGGCGTTTTTTGACCTTATCTGTCTTCTCCAAGTGATACCAGCATAATATTACTAGGTAGAAGATGATAAAGGTGCTACCTTAGAAATAGCCCTAGTAGTTCCCATGGAGCTGCTCCAAATTTAGGTGAGGGCATGTGGACAGCATTTTCAATAGACACATGGTCTTTGAATGTGAATTGACACTGCTACTTGGAGGTTCACATACAATGTGTGGACTAAGTTGTGGCTACTTTATTCCTTGTCAGAGCTAATTGTCATAAATATAATTGTTGTTGTTTGAAACACTTTGCAGTACATTCAGCTGATCAGTGGATGTGTAAAGAATTGGTGGAGATGAGAACAAGTTCTGTAAGGGGTGACAGCAGTGAATAATTTAGCAGTCATGTCTAGTATTTCAATGCCTTTAGGATCTGACTCCTTTGTGTGTGTATAACATTGTGTTTGTAATTGTGACACTGTGGATCTCATTTCCTAGGGAGTTGTCTTGACGACCTTATGAAAATGACCAAGTAAAAGTCAAATGGTATCAGGTGTAGACTACTAGCTGTAGATCTAACTTGATTTGTATTTAAATACTATGTCAAGAATAAAAGTGAGTAAAGTAATGTACAGGCCAAAAGTATAACATCCCCAAATTATTCAACTTATGCTAGCAGTGTAAGTACCTAACCTCAGTGGGCATCCAGTAATAGCTTGATAATCCTTAATTCATTTTTGTAAGTTCTGTGTTCTGTCTCTAGACATGTAGCCTTTTAACGAAATGTGTTGCCTTTTAATAATTTCAGGACAGAAGAAGTAACAGAAACATCAGAACAGAATTTAAGAGCACAGAGAATGGATAAGGTATTTGATGCCTGACTTAAACATGTTTTTGACAAGCTCTGGCCTGCTCCACTACTACACACCCTTTGAGAGTTCAGGCCAGGACAGAACAAAAAACACACAAATTAATGGTAAAAAAGGCCTGAACATCACCATATTCCATTTAGACATACAAATGCATGTGAAACATAAAAAATGGTGCTTAACTTATGAAGGTCCTTTGAAACACTAACTTCATGTATGGCAGAATACACTGAACACATTCAGCCATCGGCAGGGGTTAATATTGGAGTGATTCTTGTTATAATAAGACTTGAGTACAAGTAATTAGTTCTCGGCCTATTAGTGCTGAACCAAAGAATTTTACTTCTTTTAATTGTGTGTCCTAAAATGGGTTGTCATGTCATTACGTCACTGTGTCATTAAAACATGTTGGTGTGTTTGAATTCATGTATAATTTTAGGTTGATAAGGGCTATGCTGGTTGTGTATTATCTACTTTCGTCCTACTTTACATGGATACATTCACTGTTTGTTGGGCTGTGAGTGCTGTGAAAATGCTCCTCATTACACTTCAGTACTGTCGATGAATGAATCCGCTGTAGACACTGATGCAGGAATCCAGCTGCTGCTGTTGTGCTGTTGACATGCTTGCCAGTGTAGAAATGGAGTAAAAAGATGCTTTGGGTCGCAGTTTCCAGGCAATTTAAAAGTTATCTTAATGATATCTGACTTATGGCTCCTATTTGATTCTACTTGACACTTAAGTTGTTGCAAAAAAGTATTTAAGTATTTAAATTGACTGCTGATGATGTTTTTTTGTCATAGTATGAGGGATGAATTTATGACTTGGTTAATGGCTACAGACACTTTCTGCTAGCAACAAAAAGTTAATGTGGAAAGCACTCGGATAGAATTCTGTATTAGACTTTACAGGAATAATTAGTCTTTTCCTCATTCTGATGACTTTGGTTGCAGTTAAAGCATTCTGCTTGCATGCCAAATACTGATTGGTCACCTTCACAGTCAAAGCAGGTGGCGACCTTGAAGCCAGGACTACATTATTTTTCACTTACTGGTTGGTCCAGGGAAAATATGCAGGCATACAGGCCTGGAGCTTAATATAAAAGCCTAATGATGGCTCTTTTCAACAATTACAGTTACTAGGCATTTTTAATTTGGCCCGTTGTGGCATGAGCTGTGACCTGCTCAGGAAAATGAGTAGGGCTTGTGTGGGCTAATGGGTGTTACTCCATAATGGAAGTTTCTATATTAAGGGAGATTGCTCATTCTTTTACTGTGCTGACAACCTCAGTTCAGTCAATAGCAGTCTCTGTCATTATTTGTCTCTGTCATTTCCCCTCTGTACTGCTGTCTCTCTCTCCGCAGTTACGCACACCAGCCAGTCAGTTCGTTGCTGATTAAATGGCCCTGTCCTGAGAGGTGGCATCTGGAGAATGTCCAGATGAGGTTTTCGTGTACAGTGTCTTCAAATTAAATTGACCCTTGTTTCTGTTTCTTCACCTACAGACGAGGACTGAATCCACCCCACAGAGTCAAGTCCATCTCCATGACAACCTTCACGCAACAGGAAATCGAGTTCCTACAAAAACATGGCAATGAGGTAAGCATAGCGATTATCTACCTTGTCACAGTTGTTAATTAAGGTTGAGGTCAACTTTCCCACTGCTTTAGCAGGTTTGCTTTACAGACTGTCCGTGTAGTTTAGCTTGACATTGTACCATTGCTGTTTTATCCTGTTTGCTGTCTATGTCTGTTATATTTTTAACTGACAATATGAAAATCGAATTGAATGGTCAGTTCTCAGAAATCGGGTTATATGTTATGTGAGAATCCGTACATCATTATGCATCATCATGCAAATATTTCGGTCTTTGACAAGAAAAACTGCCCAGTTACCTTGGTCCAGAAATCATTCACTCAGTATGAAATATTTGAAATTTGAATTGAAAGTTGTTTTTTTTCTGAGGAAAACATAGAGGCTTTTTTTTTTTTTTTTTTTTTTTTTTTTTTTAAATACTAGGACAAGACTCACTCCTGAGACAGGACAGTTCATTTGGGAAGATTAAGTATTTTATTTAAAAATATCGCAGTATTACAAATTATTATTTATAATGATAATACTTTTAGGCTCAGTTTTTTCTTTTCTACAGTAGAATGTGGACTTAATTGTGTAAATGCATCAAAGCAACAAGAATTCACATGGAAATGCATTCATTTCAAAACTGTATTTATTCAGATATTGTGGATTGAATCTAATGATTATGTACAATATGAGGGGTGTTACTTTTTATATAATCCACAGTTATTTATCTTGAAAAAACACTTATTGCTTGGTTGATCCTTACCGCTCTTATCAGCCTTGTATTTGGCACCGTCAACGAGCTGTTTTCACTATACAAACTCTAATAAACCTATTGCACACTACCTGGCCACCACAAACCGGCAGATGACACAGTTGACAACAAGCTGATTAGGAAAGCCAAATAAGATCCACCTATTTTCTGACCAAATCGGTAGTGGAAGGCTGGTGAATTTTATGGCATTACTTTCTTCAGGTGGCCAGATAGACTTCGCTGGGATCAATATGTTCTGTGGCTGTTGGATGTGTGCAATTGTTTGTTAACATGTTAGCCATAATAGACTGTGAGTCTGTCATAATTGAGCTCTACCATTAAAAGGTGCAATACATTTCAGTGACCCAGTTACACTTTTATGCAAAAATTTAATGAATTATATTGATACATACATAGTTTTGAACAATGCAACGTCTGTTTGTCTTTCAAAACCTGCAGCTCTCACCTATCCATCATAACCACAAGCACCCCATATTTGTACAGCACAGAAGAACCAAAGTGCATCATCATTCAAGAACCATTTCTGGTAAACGGAGTATGAAATAGAGCAATACCACCTGGGAAGCCCAGCCTATTAAAAGCTGTAGCAAAGTGGCAGGCCAGGCAGACATGCAGGAGACTCAAGGTTGGAGCTGATGCATATGTCCTTCAAGGCTTCTATATAAATACTACTGTATTCAAGTTGCTTTTTGTCTTTTCACAGAGAGCTCTTGGCACAGAATAAACTCATACAACAAGGTGCACTTTATATTTTCAGCAACTGCAGTTTCAAAATCTAACTGATGAGAAAGAAAGACTGTGAAGAGCTGAGTGCGTGAGCATGTGCACCAAAGCCAGCTAAAGAGATAGCAGCAGCAGCAGCAGCAGCAGCAGCAGCAGCATATGAGCAACAAAAAAGCCATTCTCGCTCTTGCAGCACCATCATTCCATTTACAATAAGGCACCTTATACTGAGCGTACACACTTATGAAGCCTATAAATCTCTCTTCACAGGATTAGGCAAATACTTAAGGAATGCTACTATCCAAATTATAAGGCTACGGTGAGACTTACACTGATTTACACAGAGTGACTATGGTCAACCTGTATTTCCAAACATGGGGGCCAACTCATGCTAGACTCAAACATGGCGCTATCCTTCAGTCCAAGCATTAACGCAAAGTGTTCATCTGTCCAGTGCACCACATAAATTTGCACATGGTTACAATTTTAAATTATTAGTCAATGCTACTTTGAACTTAACTGATTTATTTTTTCATTTCCTTTGGCTTAAAACTTAAATGGCTAATTGTGAAAGTTGACCAGCCCTGCACTTGTAAGGAGCTGTGTGTACTATAATAATGTACCAAAAATCACATGTTCTGTTACTCTGTGTGTTCTAGGTATGTAAACAGATCTGGCTTGGCCTTTATGATGACAGAACCTCCTCAGTACCAGACTTCAGAGAACCACAGAAAGTCAAGGAATTCCTTCAAGAGAAATACGAGAAGAAGCGATGGTAAGTCAGTTTTTCAAGCTGGCAGTGCAAAGATATGAACAATCCTCTGACAAGGTGCACTGTGTAGATGTGTAGCTTTTCTTTGTTTTGTTTTTTTTGCTTCTCTGGCTTGGAGTGTCTCACAGGCAGCTCATAGCAGTTAGCCTCGAGCAAACCTCCAGATACCCTTCTTTAAATGCACAGAATGTAGGTCAGTACAGTAAAGCTGCTTCATGTGTGAGATTTACTTATTCCATGAAGTCATAGGTTTAATTGTTTTCAAATATGTATGAGGTTTAACATTCTTACTAGTGCATTGTGACTGTTGAGTGCCATAACTAATGAGAGCAGTTCTTTTAGACAAATGAAACTAAGGGAAGACCATACCAACAAGTGCGTGTCTTATTGATAGATGCAAATTAGGGATTGGTTGTTAAAAGTAAATATTAGTGTGGATGTTGGTTTATGTAGTTATACTCCACAAAAAAAAGTCGTATCACTATGGCACCAGGCAGTCAAAGGACAAGCGAGCACATATTTACTTTTCAATTGTTTGACAAGTAAACATGTGCTCCTTGTCCTTTGACTGCTTGGTTTTATTTCACCCAAAAACATGCCAAAAATTCAAATGAATGAAAATAAGCAAATTTAGTAAATAACTGGGCACTTAAAAGCAGTCAACCAAACAGAGCTCTACTTAAAAAAATAAGACATTAATTCAACTAACTGCCCTAACAAGAGGAAGACATATATAATGGCTGATCAGACCATTAGAAACAAAAAGGGATGAATATTACCATCACACCTAACTAACACAAATGTTCTTTTTCTGTATGCACAGGTAATCATTTAGACTATGTAGCTAATAGTCGGCCATTAGATTAACACACCTATGAGTTGGGTAGTAGTATTTTTGTCTGACCAAAATGAGAGCAATGAGCGGCGCATGACTCAACATGCCCCCATTTGCTGCAGACAGGCATTCTCACTCACAAAGGCCACTCTTCTGTAACACACAAATACACACACCAGTAATGGTACCACTGTGATGTAGTCTAATTTAATTCATGATGTGAACTGTTTCCCAGGTACGTACCTCCTGAGCAGGCCAAGGTAGTAGCATCAGTCCATGCTTCCATCTCTGGATCCTCAAACAGCAGCACCAGCAGCACCCCAGAGGTTAGACCACTCAAATCCCTGCTGGGGGAGTCAGCACCCTCCCTACACCTCAACAAGAACACCCCACCAAATCAGGTGAGATTTCAACTTGCTTGCACTCACCCACCTGTTCCATGACGTGCAATTATTATTACTTCAAAATAGTTAGTCTTTTTTGACAACTTATGTATTTACAATTTACATTGATTACAAAAAGTTCTCACACAGAAAGTGGTGCTGGACAAACACTCTCGAAGTGTTTATTATATATAGGCACACATTGCATAGCAGAATTTTTTCCTGATGGTAATTAAATGGCCACTGTTGCTAATTTCATACACCCCAGAATACTGTATTACCACCTAACCATAACGTACAATCTTCTTATTTTTGCATACTGTTAATTAGTGCACATCTGGGTATTAATCAAACTGTGTCAATCCGTCCACACCAAAAGTATGAGGATATGTTTTTAAGAGTCATTATTTTAAATTGGGTGTATTGTTGTCTGAATATGCACGAGATAGATTACAACGTTTGTGATAAATGCTTATACATGCACTGTATGAAGACACATTGTATACATAGAGACTGCCAGACACATTGTTCGTCTGCTTTTCAGAAGGCCACTCTCTTGTCTTTTTAATTTTCAGAAAGGCATATATAACTCACCTACACATGCCTGCAGTTTTTCTAATCCATCTCATATGTTCACCAGTCTCCAGTGGTGAGCCGTGGACAAATCCATCAGCAGCAGTTCCACGACAAGAAGTTCGACCTCCTCAGTGACTTGGGTGGAGACATCTTTGCTGCCCCGCCTAACATGAACGCAGGCGCCAGCTCCAGTTTTGCTAACTTTGCACATTTCAACAGCCACACAAGTAAGGAACAAAGTGACTGCTTGAATGTCTAAAAAAAAAAAAGAAAAACTGAAAATCAATATGTGTCATACAAAAAAACATAGGAAATTGATATACTAGGCACAAATCAGTAAGGGAATACAGAAAAAAATTAGCAATAACTCCTACCTCCAAAGTGTTTATTGGTGAAATTACCTTCATTGTCTGGAGGAAAAATGTGATCAGTTTCATCTGAAACTTTAAAAATTTTTATATGAACATGTAGACATGTTTATCTAGAAGGAGTAGAACAGTATAACAAACGGTGAGAATACTAGACATAAAGTAATGGTGTTGCTTCCATTTAAAAGGTTTAAGGTGCTTAAAGACACGGACGTATGCTGAATGATGTTGCATTCTAATTGACACCTCTTATACATTGTGGCAGAATCTCCAAAATGTCAGCAGTCACATTTCCCCATGACTGAGAAACGTGGCCATACATCATGTGTGGGATGATATCCTCCAAGTTGTACATTCCATGATTGTAATGGAGGATACTGGGGAAACCTGCTTATACCATGGTCACTTGCCAACAAAATGCCATATGTAATCAAACTAAAAATATCAGTCATCAATTTACACATATAAATGGTTCATTTTGATCTGGCTTTCCTATTTTAAGAATCATAAAATATAGTACCTGCGCCTCAGAACTGAGGCATTGCTAGGCATCTTGCTAGGCATCTAGCTGAACAGGAAGGGGTTCACAAGTTTTAAAAGCAGAGAAGAGAAATTTCAGTGATTCCTGTCAATCTTAAGAACAGATAGCAGCAATGTGTTCTGCTACATGACATTATTAAAACAGCGGAAATAATGTTACAGCACTCTCTGTCAACCTTACATTGGCTGCCACTGTTTTCCCCCTGCCTCTGTCACAAACACACTCATGTTGCACTCTTGCTGTCTTTCTCACACTCCCTCACTCTGACCTGTGACTTCTCCACATCTCTTTATTTTCTCTCCAGCTCTGGCCACTTTTGCCAAGGCTTCCAGCATCAGGCTTGCAGCATCAGGCTTCCTGCATCATCATGACTAGCATTATTTAGCTCCTCTACTTAAGCCAACTTTCAGATTCAGGCAAATATGATACACATTTAAAATTATATTTTTGTTTTTCTCACTGAGAAGCTGTTTATTCTTTTTTCAGCTCTTGTTGGTGGTTTCACAAATAACTCAAGTCTCTTAAGCTGAGGCTCAGCTGCTACTGTCTTTACCTACAGTTTAATTAGCACATTTATTTACGACACCAAACTAACACCTATGTGATAGTTGTCCGGTTAAGCCATCGAGTACTAAAAGTTAATCCACACCTTCCAACAAATCAGAATCCTTAGTGGCCTTGGTATAAAGATTGATATCAGAGGTTCTATGGACACAAACATCTCCATGGTTACTAATGTCTACAACATAGGGCTATTAGTGTTTGCTTCCCATGGCGAATAATGTCCTCTCATTTCCCCCTCAAAGAGTCATCAAGACTTGCCCTTAATGCAGTGACTAAAGTGGCAACCACACATCTCTACATAGCAAACATGTGCACAGATGTGCACCTCTAAATTGTATGATTTGTGCAGTCCTAAGCACACAGATTCGGTCTCATATGTGCTCAGCATGGAGTCCAGACAGCATCTCATGGGAGAGGGTAAATGTCAGGCGATCCTGACTGCCTTTAAAGCTGTTATGCATGTTATTGTTATGTTACACCACTCTATGATTATCTCTCATATTTAGCACATAATCCATTGTATTTGTTCTGCAGTCTGTCATCCATGCCTTTGGCTGTCATATGTATAAATCCATTCTATTATTATCTCATCCATTGTTATCCTCTCATTGTGTCTTTTTGTTCATCTGTCTGAACTTCATCCTGACACCACCTCCAGCGGCACAGAATGCCAACGCAAATGCAGACTTTGCAAATTTTGATGCATTCGGGAGCACTTCTGGGTCGACAGGTGGTTTCCCCTCCGCACCCCACGTCCCATTCCAACCCTCAAATACAGGTAGAGCAAGTTCTCTTCACTGGACAAACAACACACATCCAAATCACTCTGATAAGACATGATCTTGTATAATTTTGTGTACACAGACACTTGAGAATGTACATACAGGTTAAACACAAAAACCTTTTCAAATGCAGCACACTGTCAGTCATGTCTTCTGTCAAGTCATCAACATTTGGTGTTACACATATCCTCTGTTTCCCAGAACTTTCCATATGTGCAGTGTCCATTCATCCAGTGTCAAATTTGAAAGGTTTCTGTGCATCAGTTTTACAACTAGCAAGTTTAACAGAATGTGCAAGTTTGGAAAAAACTGCTAATGCATATTTGTTTTCTTTAGCTCAGTTAATTGCTGTTGACTGCAGGTGGACACATAAGATAATGTTCACACTGTATGTGCCTAAGGCATAAAACTTAAGTCATATGCTCCAGAGAATTTGCATGCCATGCAGACACACTAGAGGCATTGACTCTAAGTGCCACTTGTAGCATATCTCTTTTTTGGCCCTCTTTGAAGCATGACCCACTTGTCTGGGCAATCAACAACAAACCCATTTCTTAAGAGAAAGGTATGGTTGTACACCAGAGCAGTGCACTTAGTACACTTTAGGTTGAAAATTGATTTTAGTGTTAGGCGATTAATAATATCAAATATCTGTAGAATATGCTACATTCTGAATTAGTTATATTTCTAAGAGATAAACTGACCAAGGAGGTAAAGATCACTCTGCAGTCATTAGCTAGACAGTACAGCACATGTAGTACAACAGGTTTGTTAGTGCTGTAGCACCGTAACCACATCGTGGATAAACCTATAGGAATATTTTATTACTATACTAGAGACTTAACAATAACGTAAACACGCAGGCTGTGTGATTTAATAGAATGTATGCTTGTACCTAAAGCTGGAATTTTAATTTGATATATTGTGGTCTAAAAAATGTAATTGGGGCTTAGTCTCAGGAAAATGTTGTATACTACAGTGCCCTCTGCTGGACATTCAGATTGGTAACAATTTTAATGCAGAGCTGCACAGTGATCTCTTTAGCATGCCTATTGCCTGATGATAAAGCCCCCCTCTCTCTTGTGGCTTTGTAAGATAATCCCTTTCTCACAGACACTGACTGACTGTGCTATCTGGCCTCAGCTGTCCATTCTATCTCGTGTGTTTTTCATCCTTTGCTTCGGCATCAGTTGATTTGCTTTGACTTCATGCTTTTTAATTTTTTACCTCTGGTTTGGTTGACATCTTTTCTTTGTTTCTCCGCCCTGTCTTACATTGCTCACTGCCCCATTTCTCCATCCCTCCCTCCTTCTTTGATTTTTGGCTGCCAGCGTTCACTGTGCTCTCATCCAGCCGCAGTATGGGTGAGTTTGCCACTGCTCTGCCTCTCCAGGGTGCACACAGTAAGTCTCTCTCTGGGCTTGCCCTCTTAACAGCTTTCACCCTTTCCACCGCCTCTAATGTGTAGTCACTCTGATCCTCCTATCTCTGGGTGTAATGTGTGTCTCAGCATGTAGCTCTTTTTGTGTCTGAAACTCTGCATCACAGTTGACAATCTCACTGGTTAAAAACCGGGATAATACGCTTTGATGGTTGCTGCTATTATTGAGAATGCCTGTGGAGAATCAACCAAATGGAAGGACATAAGAGCTAAGTGGTATAGAATTAAAAAGGAATAAAGAAAATAATCAAAATGAGCAGAATTATTATTTTTTTTTAAAACATAGTATAATCGGATAGTCACTGTACTATTTTTAACATACCCTTTACCTTTTACAATAATTAGGAAACTCAAGAGCACTATGCCCTTGAGGTCTAAACCATTAATTATTTATGGTAAATAATTTGGTTAAATTTATATATATATTTACATATTCCTGGCATTAAACATCAAAATAAAATAAATGGGCCAGAACAACCTCAGTCATCTGCATAGTAGACAGCTTGTCTTCTGGTTTTTATTTAGAAATACAAACATGTCTCTATCCTGTCCGAGGATATTTTAACTGTTTGACTGATGGTATCAGTACTGTTCTGTCAAAATTCTTATTGTCCATTAAGCGGTTAAGTATAAATAACCCTAATCGAAAAAAAGTTGAATTTTTACCTGCAAGCATTCTTAGAGACATTGAACAAGAGCAAGAGAAGTGCCTTAATTAGCATGGTGGCCAAACATACACATACTATGTGAAACAAATGACATATATGGGTATTTACAGTGGTAAAATTCTAAGCAGTTACTGTTTGCCCAGTAACAATCTGGGTTCTGGTTCAAATTGACACTACTCATTACAAAGCTCAGTTATGCCTACAGGATGGTTTTGGCAGACTAACAGTCTTTTCCATTGAATTATCAAGCTGTTTTCCATGTCACATTAAATACTTTTTGGTTGGTTTTGCTTGTAACGCCCTTGATCCACAGTATGGTGCTGAACTCCTATGTAACTGAGACATGCAAGAAAGGTGCTGTTCTATACATCATATGTCTCTAACATAAAGAAATTATAATTTAATGCGTTCCTCAGGTTCATAGGCTATTGGAGAGCCAGCATAGTGCAGCATTGCAGACTTCTTTTAGAAGTGTTGCTATCTATCCTATCGATAATGAAGGTATCCCAGCCCTAGCCCAACTCCACCCCAACTTTACCCTCCATGCAGCTTCTTCTCTCCCTGTCCACCATGTTAATGCTGTCACTCAAATCCAACAATCAAGGTCCCCCTTATGACTTTTTAATCTCTCTCTTTCATACAGGTAGCGCCTCAGGGGGACTAGCAAATGCCAGTTTTGCAAATTTTGACAACTTCCCCAAATCGTGTAGTGCTGACTTTGGATCCTTCAGTTCCTCCTCCCAGAGTAACTCCACAGGAGCTGGCAAAGATGCTGTACAGAGTACTAGCGTCCCTGCCGATAGATACGCAGCCCTGGCTGACCTGGATAACATGTTTAGCTCTGCCAAAACAGAGCAAGGTAAACTTCTCCTGCCTAGCCTGTTTCATAGATCACAATTGTAGGGATAGAGGTTGACTGAAAAAGGAAGTTGACACAACTAAAAACATTTGTACTCCTTAACCCTAACTCATAGATTTAAGTCCCATTGAGTCTTCCTCCCAGTGCAGGGACAGCCGTAGTCGCTCTTTAAACAGGACTGATTTACATTTTCTAGCAAACATCCAAAACATCTACTCACCATCTTGTTTTTTTCAAAATCGGTCTCCTGGCCTCATTGTTATGGAACCAGCCTGTGTAACAGGCCACTGCACATGGTGAAAATACTTCCTTGCTTTAAAGAATGTTTTATGTACTGGTTTCATTGGAGAGTTTTAATGTCACATGGTCAGAATTCTGGCACTCGAGCATCTGTGAATTGTACTGGGCTGGTACTAGTTTATTTTGTTCATATTACAACCTGTGTTTCTGTGCTAGAAAATGCAAATTTCCTAATGATTGAACATTTATTCCCCATTATTTTTAGTAGGTTGAAAATGGCAGCTATCTCCGGCAGCTAATTTGAATTTTCCTCCTGGATTAGTTGAACTAATGTGGACTGAACCCGGCTCTGCTCTTATTTGCTTCTGTTGCAGGAGGTGGTATTCCTGGGGGGGTGAGCTCAGCCGCAGCCGCAGCAGCAGCAGCAGCAGCCGCCGCAGCAGCAGCAGCAGCAGCAGCAGGAGGAGTGGGTGGTTTGCCTCAGAAGCAGCCAGCGATGCCAACAGGGGGGGACCGCTATGCAGCTCTAGCTGAGCTTGACACTGTCTTCAGTTCCTCAGCCCCTGCCACCAGTGTTTACAACACCACCAGCACCTCACAAGGGTGAGACTATGCAAAAGACATATACACACCACAGTAAGCCCCCTGTTATTGTACAATCCAAAAGTTGTTTTATTTATTCATTTAAGTTGATGCATTTAGCTTATTGAAGATGTTTACAGCTAAATTATTCACCTGATTGTTGGAACATAGGGATATAATAGCTGATGGATGTGAACCAATGTGCCAGAATACAGTTAGAATGCAGTCACAGCTAGCTGGAAATTTTCACCAGCAAAGTAACTTTTTTTATCCAAAGCAACTTGACATAGGGACATACAGTGACCACACTGTCTATCATACAGCATTATGCAGTGGTCTCTGGTCTTCTTGTTTTGCTGGCTCCCCGATGAGTCTATGTGTTGATTTTGTTTCACTGCAGGGGTTTGTTTGGCTCAGAGGCTGGGGTGTCAACAGCACAAGCACAGCAGGCCCTGCCTGGCATGGCTCAAGGTTTTGGAGGTGAGTGAACCTGCATTTTCTCTTGCTTCTTATTGTGCTCGCAAATTGATATTGGTAATGATACAGATGTCTAGGGGGTGAGGCGCAGTGTACTTTAGGCGACTCCAGCTAGACAATTTACAACTTTTGTACCTTTGTGGGGTTCCTTGAGGACCTTCATGGTTGAGATGTGAAGAACAGTTTGCAGATGTGTTCAGAGAATGTGTGTGTGGATCATCGATCTGTGGCAAGTTCCATGCTTTGAAAAATCATCATGTTGTGTCAAACATGGATAAGCTTTACAAGAGTTATTGTTCCTTTTTTAGCCAACCTGGCTCACAGGTCATTTTGGCACTTTGATTATAAAGTTGTTTTGAAAAATGTTGACTGTATATGCTCTAAAATTACAGCAGGTTTTTGGACATTTTATCATCTTACTTCTTAGAACTCTATGCAAAGCTTAATTTGGCAAAATGGATTTAGCCATGAAAAGTTTGGTTGAAAGACACCAATTATGTAAAGGTCATCAACAGGAGATAATTAGTGTTCCAGAGATTTGAAGTGGGAGCAGGGGAAATCACTGACAGTAAACATCGGCATGTTGAAATAGAACCTCCTCCATCAATCAATGCTTTTGTATTTAATACATTTAGATCAAGCAGTTTATTGTTCTGTTTCTGTTTTGTTTGTTTGTTTGGTGACTTGATTCCTCTCTCCAACAGCTCAGTCAACTAATCCGTTTGTAGCTGCTGGAGTTGCCCCAGCGGCAGCTCCCACCAACCCATTCCAGAGCAACGGCAGAGCAGCAACTGTGGCAGCAGCAGCAGGTGTGTTTATGTATATGTTTGTGTATCTGTGTAGTACAGATGGAACATCACCCAATCAGCAAGTTAGTACAAGAGTGCATATTAAAATCATTTTATTTGAAGAAAAAAAATGTAACTGTGTTATGTTATCATACAATGGGTGTATCATGAGTTAGGTTACATTGCACACCCAAAGTGGCAACCTTTGCCCAGGCTGCCATAGCAATGAATATGCCTGAAGCCACAGTGCCAAACACAAGCAGAAAAGAAAATGATCACACAAAAAAAGTTCTGAATACCATCTTGTTCATTGTGGAAATGGGTAGCAGGACTAGCGTTGCCACTTACTGGTGTGCACATGAGGGATGAAAGATATAGTAAAGTGTAGAAATTGAGATTCAGTTGTCTGTCTGATTGCTCTTGCCATGCTGGACAGGCTTGATGAGGGTTCTTCATGGGCAGGGTTATCCTCCCACCTTTGGTAGGTTCTCTTGTGCTCTCTGTTTCCCCTTTGCTCTCCTGCATTTTGCTCTGGCAGCACATCCTTTTTCCTGTTTCACATGTATCAGGAAAATGTTGGGAGAGGTAAGCATAGCATCAAGATCCAGAAATACAGGTATGACAACATTTAATGCAATCAACAATTCACCATAGGGTACAATGGGCTAGGTTGAGTGGCTCCTGCAGCATGAGGCCATCATTTCATCCTAGTGTCTTGTAGGCCTGAGCTGCTGAGCAAAGCGGTTTTGTTAAACAGACTACTCACTAGGTTCAATATCAATACACACAACATGTGAGTTTCCTTGAAGGATTTAAAAAATAAAGATGAGTCAGAAAGTGCAGTTTAAGAGAAGAGAGGTATAGATGGACATGAAGTAACCTTTAGTTTTGAGCGCTGTGCTCTGTTTTTTTGAAAGTATAGTTATGACAAGTTGAAGTATATATTGCTCATCTTACCCCACAAGTCTCAATGACAGTGGCTTCCTCAACATTTTCCTCTTATTAGTTGGCAGGAAGAATAAAGTCTGGTGTGTCTTTTCAAAGACATTGAATTATGAAAACTAACTTTATTTTCTAATGTACATAAAAAAAATCATGTAGTCATTCATTAGGTTGATTCTCATAAAAATGCTTCATTCAGTGAATGAACCCTGTTAGACTGAAAATAATCCCCCAGAATCAATTTCAATATCAGCTAACCTGTTTGCTTTTACTCATTTATTCAATCAATTTTAGCTGCAGTAGTTGACTTTGTTTAACAGGCATTGAATGTAGCATTTGTACCAGATATTGGATTGTTCAATTGCCAGCTGACTGTCTTACTTACCACAGTTTAATTCCACTTGCGCTGTGGGGAAGTTGTGCTCCTGTGTGCTCATCAGAGGTCAGACACTGGTGCTACACTTACTGCAAGTGTTGTAGCCTCATGCCTGACTATTGTTCAGACAATCCCTCCTTTTTCCTAAGGCTTGTCTGTAGACAACTGTATTCACAATTTGCATGTGTTTAAACAAAGTACAAATCCATGCACTGTAAGATTCTGAAAGAACGACACTATTGATTACAGAATCACATGTGCAGTTATTCACTTGCTAAAGTAACAATGACCAAACTTATTGCATGGCATAATTGATATATTTCTAATTCCTAATTTGCTGTAGCAGTGTTTCTTTTCTTGTTGACTTGTCTGTAATGTTGTGTATCCTCTCACTTATTTTAAGTTTACTACAGTACTACAGTATACTGCTTCCTAACAAACTGCTTATATTAATAGCTGCCTTGTGTTTTTCTGCTGATGTGTACCCGCTCCTGTGTAACCTAACTTTTGTGTGTGTGTGTGTGCGTGCGTGCGTGCGCGTGTGCGTGCGCACGCATGCTATAAAATCGGCACAATGCCATAATTTTGAAAATAAAATGAAGAAGCAAAAGGTGTTGTCTATGTTGTTGTATGACTTTAGGTGTTGTTGAGTCTTGTACAGGCTTCTTTAACCAGTCGCTGTCCTGCTGTGTGTAGCAGCATCATTTGGCACAGGCTCCATGAGTATGCCGTCTGGATTCGGGAATGCTGCAGCCTACAATCTCCCCACCAGCTTTAGTGGAACGTTCCAGCAACCCTTTCCTGGCCAGGCTCCCTTCCCTCAGCCTCCTGCGTATCCCCAGCAACCCAATGGTATGTATGCCTCTTTGTAGATTTTGTAGTTAAGACTTATCGACATTAGTAACTACACTGAAGTTCAACATTACATGTGCATCTGACTGACACATTGTCACATTGCTGCACTTAAATGTTTTTAAAAAAATGTCGCTTTTTAGGTAATTCTATTCTGCTGTGGTATTAGGTGTGATTACTTGAACATAAATAAGGAAGTCCTTCTTGATTTGTTGTTGCTTTAATTCATTTTTTGGGTGTGTTTTCCATTATATTTCCTAAATGACTATGCACATGTCTTTCAGGTGGAGGATTTCCAGCCTTTGGCCAGGCTAAGCCTGTTGTGACTCCTTTTGGGCAGGCAATGCCTGGACCTATGGTCTCAAGCAACCCTTTCCTGGTTAGTAAGAGGGCTACATGGCATTGTTTCCTGTAGAAATAAGTCTTACATAAAGGAATGGAGAGGCTTTAGTACCATGAGCCAAGATTGTTTGATAGAGATAAGGCAGTTAAATTATTCCTTTTTTAGTTCTGTTGAATAGACTGTTGATTTATTAGAACTGACACTGTGGTGGGTTTAAAGCTAGATGTGATCATTTTGTATTAATGCTACTGGATTTATTCTGACCCTCATCAGTACTAAGTACTTCTCTGACTTTTCCTCTTTGTGTCTCCCTTTTTCCTTTCAGGGTGCGGGTCCATCCGCACAATATCCAGCAGGAAGCTCTTCAACGAATCCCTTCTTATAGCGATCCATTCAATCAGCTGTACTACAGGGTCAACAACTGGCGCGCTTGCACCTATTGCACTGTTTTGTTTCACAAGTAGCTTTAAAAACACAATGTTTGTAAGGATTTGTATTTTTTATCGCAGTTTGTCACTAATGGAACAATATGACAGACAGTCATGCTGACAATGTCTATGGCTACAAAACAAAGTGATAGTGTGTGCAGAGGGAGAGGTTGATCCCCTCTTCTCTATTTAACCTGTGAACTGGCCTGGCCAATACTGAGCCACAATGTATAATCAAACTGGCTGAAAACTAAGTTATTGCATTCAGTATATTCTATTCATTATGCTGCAATTCTGTACATACTATTTTTCTTTTAGGAAATTAGCTCTTTGTGCATATCAGTATTTGTATCTAACACACAAGATTTGTTAAGACAGAGCTGTTGTTTGGAAAAGCTAATGGGTACTGCCAGTTACCGTCTTTGTAAAGAACCAAACTGTTTATTTGTGCAGGATCCTTCTAAGGTAAACTGTTCTCACTAAAGAAAAAAAAGAATGCATAGTCTGTTGTTGAGAGATGGAAAAAAGGAGTGAATGCTGCATCAGGGATGGGTAGGGGACTCATTTCTCTGCCATCCCCTGCCCTGCTGCTCCTGAACTACAGTGAACCACATCGGTATGTGGCTAATAAGAACGATGAACTGAAAACCACTTACATTGGGTATTAGAGAATTTTAAGTTAATATGTAAATATATACAGTATATATATTAAAATGAATTTTAAGTAAGAAGAAATGACCAAACCATTCATTTACATGGATGTATGGAAATCTTGTATATTTGTTTTGTATAAAAAAAAAAAAATTATGTTCATGGTGTTGCGGTCAGTAATTTGAAGCTTTTTTTTTATTTTATTTTTTTTTTTAATGTAGCCACAGTGAGGACCTAAAGCATGAGTGATTATTGTAGCTTGCAGTGTCAGAATTCTTGTATCTCAGAATCCGTGTTCGTCAAGGACGAGAGATTCATTTTTGTCTGGAGGACTTGTCCCTTTTTTGTTTCTCTGTGCTTTCCAAATGGTAAACAGTCCCCGAAGTGAAAAAAGAACGGCGATGACTGAGAAGTAGCTGGAGTATATGGTGAACTGCAAAAGAGCACATGATTTTGTGATAAGTGCACGTATAAAGACTTTTTCTGCCTGCACATGTTTTCTGATCAGATAGCTCACCTGAGGAATGATGGCCAGGCCCAATCCTCCACTGTCAACCACAACAGAAGTGATAATCGTCTGTAGAACCAGTGCCCCAAAGTTGTTTGCTCCAAAGACTAGTGCATATCTTTCCATCGTCAGGTCAGCTGCAATCTGGTACCTAAGAAGAAGATTTAAATGTTCTTTTTCCTGCAATAGTATTAGCTCTGAATCATGGGATAAAATGTAAACCAGCTTATATCAAATGACTTAAAATTCTTACATGGCTATTGTTATCAGCAGCATGTAGAGGCACTTGAAAATAACGTAACTGGTGTAGCAGACCCATATGTTGTTGATTGACGTCATAAGGAAAAGTGCAGCTGCCCCAAGTCCAGAGAAACCCCCCAGGGCCAGCTCTCCCCACTTCTCCCATCTCACCTCAGTGAAGCCTATACCATAAGATGTAGCTGCACCTGAAAAACACATCCATTTAGGATTATTGTAGTAGAAAAGACAATTAAATACGCAGCGAGGAAATGAATGGGATATCTAACAAAAGCTGCTAAGTTGTTTCCCTTTTTTGAAAACAAATATATCTAATCCTAATATGATGTATTAGTAGAACACCTTAGAGTGGCCACAACAATGCGACAGTCAGTTCAATTTGCCTAGATTTTCCTTTCCTAATCGGTATTCTGTCATGAAAACCTTTATCTGATGTTGCTTACTCAACAGGTTGGACACCGCTTCCACGCCTCCATTGTAGATACTGAAGTTCTGAGAAGGCTGCACATGCTCCCACAGCACCTGCAGGGTATATTGTATATTACTTTTTTTGGTGTATCGGGGCTTGGATTTCCTGCGTTTAATCATTTCCAACATTGGAATTTCATTTGCAAGTGAATCAACTGTACATTATTTGACCATGAAGGAGTGGCACAATTTGATCTGCTACAATCACACTTGGTGCTTTAGATTGGTGCAATGGTTGTATATTACATTTTCACGATAGCATAACCTTAAATTTTCACTTTTTATTTATGTTACATTTACGTTTATATTGCCTTCACAACTGACCTGCACATAGTTGACAGTCTGGTTATACCCGCAGGTGGCCATTGCCCACCACAATGACCAGTACAGCAGCTGTCTGGAGGAATAGCACTGGCAGAAGTCCCTCCAAAGCTGCAGGAGAACTTGGCTGCAGCCTTCTGCACCAACCGACTCCTCAAAGTCCACAGCTTTAGGCACTTTTTCATCCTGTCCTTTGACAGCAACTTCCTCTGTTTCTCTGCTTATGTCTACCCTTTCATCTCGCATTTCTTCCGACGAGGTCTTTACTCTACTTATGTGCTCTGTTGCATCCACAGTCCCATCTCTGTTGCTCTTTGTTGCCTCTGTTGCTGTTTTCTGTCTTGTATGTCTTCGATGAAAGAACATGCTCTGCTCTGGCATTGGCAGGAGGCAGGAAGAGAGGAGAGCGATGCCAGTGAGAACCAGAGTAAACACCATTATGTTGTTGTAGGACATGAGGTCGAAGCTGACGAGCAGCTGACCCAGAACAGAGCCCACCGTATACCCCAGCAGCTGGACACTGCGGCTGTAAGAGGTGGCCTTCCGGTACCGTTTCAGATCTACTACACTGTAATAAACAACACAGTCAAAATGTCATATCTGTGCCAATAATGCAAAATTCAGTTCCCTGACACCTGGCAGTACTGGTGCCATGCTTTGCCTTTTGACCTTCAGTAGATGAAGATGTACCTGTAGATGTAGGAGAAATAGGCCACCTCGCTGGCTGTCACCACCCCATAGAAGAACTGCATGGCCTGCATGGCTGGTACAGTTTTGGTCCACAGAATCATCGCTGTGGTGATGAAGAGCATAACACACTGGAACACCACCACAGGCTTGTAACGCAACCAGTCTGTCAGCAGGAACACTGGCACCAGCACAGACAAGTAGGAGTACGTCCACACGGGGAAAATTTGATTATTAACCTGATGAGGAAACAGCAGTTTGAGAGTGATAAATGTGAAAGAGTATGTATATGAGATGGGAACTGTATTGCTTCATAGCAAGGTTCAAGGGGCAAAAAGTAGTTTTTATCTTTAGTAGAGACACTTTTAGTCCAATGGCCAAAACAATATGCGCACTTGTTCTGTCTCTCTTTAGTCATTCATATGCACATCTGTGCACATAACATACATAAAAAGCCTGAATGCAGAAGGTTTACTTGAATATGTTAATAATAATAATAATGTTGATAAAATATTGATTTAGGCAACAGAGCTCGAGTTTCAGTGATGCTCCATCTGATCTTTACATGATGTCAGAACAGTTATTCTTGTTTTATTTTTAATTCAACTCCCCAATTTATGGCATGATCTTTCACTGCAGATCACCTGTCTTTGTGTTTGTGTTGCTCAGGCTGTTGCTGAGGGGATTTTCAGAATAAAATTAAGCATTATAATAACTTTATAGATAATGTTCATATCATACCTATTTGCAGTATGAGCTCTGTAGGCATAGGAAATATAGTGAATATTTCTTTAGCTAATCTTAAAGAAGATATTTAAATACAAAACATTAAACTGATAGACTTTGGTTAGTGAACACTTAATCACTGAGATCTAAATACAATATCAACTGATTGGTTTTTAATTCTAAGGTGACTGGATTTATAATACCACTTACAAACTGTTGGAGAGATTGTATTTAACTTTACTGTGATTCACCAGCTTCGTTATTTTGTATTTATTTATTTAATAATATTTCTCTGATTCATGATCTGCTTAACTCTCTGCTTAACCAATGTAGTTGTTTGTCTTTGCTTTAATACCTGCTCTGTTGTGAGATTCTTGTCCGGCCCTGTCAGGTATGGGATGAGGAAAGGCTCCAAGGGTTTAACTGTGCTGAAGAATCCATAGATGCACAGCAGAGTGGTGGGATACCTCCAGTCTGACCTCCAGCTCTTAACTGCCTCCATCTTCTGCTGTTTTTCTGCCTGTTTCAGGTGTGTTGTGTTCGTCAGTGTGCTACTCTTTCTGTCTTTCCTCATTGTGGGAAACTACTAAGTGTTGAGCTCGGTTTGTCAATCAATAACCCAGTCAAAGAGCAGCACAGCCTTGGCCAAGATACACGTGTAACAAATTAAACAGGTACAGACACACATCAGGACTTTATCTTTAATATACTTCACTAATCATTGATAATTGCAGCCTTATTGTGTTTTTTATTGTGCTTGCAAGTTGTAGAGATGATATGAAAAACACTCATGGGATCAGTCAGCAACTAAGGAACATTGCAGTGTCTATGAGCAACATTTTTGAGGCAATAAGATGCTCAGTTTTGCACATATTACAGTGATGTATTGTTATTTTATTCCCAATCAACAAATGAAACAATCACCTGCTCATTTAGTGCTATCCAGACTATAACAGTTTGTTAAACTTGGTCAGAAAGGTTCAGCAGCGATCACCTCCACACTGGACCTTTGCTCCTGGGCCTCTGTCTGCCCAGGTCTGTGACGATTTACACAGGCGGTGTAGGTCCCTCGGATCAGGAAGAGCACCGAGATGGTAGTGTAGTAGCTCCCGTAGATGATGAACTGCAGAGAGAGGTTTCTGTCATACTCAATGTTACTATTTCAGTCATGCCAAGTATCCATCTACATGTAACATGTCTGGATGCAACAGTTAATGATAACCACCAGGTGTCACTCTGTCCTCACATTTTAGTGTTTGTTATCTAGCAGAACGCTGAAACTGTTTACATTCTTAATTCAGTTCAAGTTTACCCCAACAGGCTTAAATGATCAATATCCATGCTCTGCCAAAGGTAGTATAGAAGTAAGACGTGTATAGGGGATTAGATACATACCTGCGACACAATGTCCAGTCCAAGTGCAGCTTCATCAACAACAATGAACGTAATGATGGTCTGCAGTGAGAGGGCCACAAAAGTGTTGATCCCAAATGTCAAAGCATAGCACTCCATGGAGAGTTTAGATGCAATCTGAAAACTTAAAGGACAAAGGGGATATGACCTCTGAGAGAGCTTACAATAGACAACGAGTGTCATAGATATTTATAGGTAATGCAAAAAAGAGCTGAAACAATAATATGCCGATCAGAAAGTATTTTGATAGTTAATTATTTGGCTCACTTTTCAAGCAAAAATACCAAACACTTGCTGTTACCAGCTTCTTAAATGAACATTTTCTGCTTTTTAAATTGAATATCTAAGGGCTTTGGAATGAACAATGAATATGTCATGTTTTGACATTTTATTATGTTTTTATGCACAAAATGATTAATCAAGTAATGGAGAAAGCAGACAAGAACTGGCAGATTAGTTGAAGTTGCAGCCCTAATCCAAAACCAGCCTTCTTTGTGAGTGAGCTTGTTTCACAGAAGGATCCTCGTAACAATCCCTCTTAGGAGCTGAGAAAGTTATTTCAGGCTTTGTGCTCTACTGTTCCTCCATCTACAGAGAGGAACAATTTAGAGAAAGTTACCGTAGAGCTGGAGAACAATAGTTTGGTCAGAGGAATTCTCCAGTGAACTTACGTTGTGATGGTGATGAGAAGCATGTAGCAGGATTTGAATATGACATAACCAACATAGCATGCCCAGATACTGTTGGTGAGCGCCATCAGAAACACAGCACCTGCCCCTACTGCTGAGAACAACCCTAAAGCCAGCTCTCCCCACATGGCCCAGGTCACCTTGATGTAGCCCACAGAGAAGGCTGCTGTAGCACCTGGCCCGTGGAAGAAAAAAAATGAAGTGATTAATCTGTCATTCAGTGGACATCACCTCCAATGTGTCTGTGCAACCTTGTTGTGATTCATTCATCAATCCTAACAAAAAATTTTTTCCTTGGAACACTGGCATAAAGGGGAATATGGCCTCTAAACAAAACCTCTTGCGCTCACATGCCTTTACTGGCCTCCTCAGCAGCTGCCCATTATGATGAACCACTTTCACCCGGCTCATGGAATCAGCAATTATCAGAGAACCCATTACCTTCTAACTCTATCTCCTTAATTGAAGCAATTACTCTTCTTCTTCTAATGCTGAGCCAGGTTGAGAGTGAGCCAACAGGACCATAGTGATGCTATTCCCTTTCAAAATCAATACAGATTTTCCATTTAATCAGGTACCCCCTATAACCAAGAATGACACCATTGTTTTCTTTTAACTGCAAGTTTTTATAGCTCTATGTGCCATCAGACATAGCAGATTTTAATAACACTGTTAAATTTTATTTTGCTCTATATAATGCAGTCGTGCTGCAGCCTTCTTCTTCTCCCCCTGTGTTAATTAAACTCTTACTTCCTGTTCTCAATGTGGTGAAAGTCAGTGATCCCCTGCTTCTGTTAATCTTCTGATCCTCTGTGAGATTACAGTGTTCAACAGCAACTTTCACTCTTTCATTAAATGTGCTTTTGTGCATGTTATCTTGCAATTTTTTGTTTTAGGACACTCGAATCTTTAGTTTATAAGTGGTTTGTCCTGTTTCTATGGTTATGTTTTGGATGGCAATATTAATGTAAGTTGATGGTGATACTGAATTAGACTGAAATAGCTCAAGTCAAGTGTACCAGCAGACTTACCTACAAGAGAACATGCAGCCTCTACACCTCCATTGTAGATGGATGATGTGGCAGATGGTTCTATATGGTCCCACATCAGCTGGATGTAGTTGAAGACCTGAACATAGCCAGCTGTTGCCAGAGCCCACCACAGGGACCAGTAGATTAAATGTCTGCAGGGTGGTCATTATGATAAAGATTATGATCATGTATGAATACACGATAAAAAAAATTTAAAAAAACATACAGCAAAAATCATCTCATTTGCTCGTTTGCTAAATGCATTAAACTATTATTCAGGGCAAAGTGTGAAAAAGTTGCATGCTCAGCACAGCTATACTAAAAGTGTATCAATAAAAAGTCAGAAAAAGGAAATGCCTGGAAGAGTACGACTCCCTGAAGCTTTGCCAGAGTAGATGACCTGCAGTGGCCACATTTTCTCTGCTGCACCAGCCAGGGCTGCCATTATGCTCCATTTTCTCTTTCCCTGAGCCAGCTCCCTCCTTATCCATCACTTGCTCCCCAGGCCTGTGTGCTCCCTGTGGCCCCTCCTGCTGGGACTGTGAGCGCACAGCTGCAGCTTTTTTCCCTTTGAAGAACATGTTCCTCTGGGGCATGGGCAACCAGAAGGAAACGAGAAAAGCCATGCTCACAATCCCCAGAGTGATAGCATTGATGTAGAAGTAGTCCACTCCTGTTGATTAGAGTTCATATTTCTTCAGCTCTTAGAGTTATTCATGCAGTGCAGTACTTTCATACAGTAATTCTATTAGCAGTCATTATTGTTATGCAGGCAGGGCAGATTCATTGTATAGGAAAATACAGAGATACAATGTACATCTAATATTTTTTATTTATTGTGTATTTAGGCTTGGAAGCCCTACCAAGGGAGACGAGCACTTGGCCGAGGCCGGCACCAAATGTATATCCAGCCAGCATGGCACTGCGCAGGTAACCAGTGGCTCTTTGGTAATTTTCAACTGGAATTATGCTGTAAATGTAGGAAAAGTAGGCCACCTCTGTGGAAGTCACTACAGCATAGTTGACCTGTTGATGGGAAACAGTTTTAAAGAGATTGTAGCCTGTGATCCCTTGTACCAGTAATGCATAACATAATGTATTCTATTTTTACAAGTTCCTCATGAGTAATATGCAGCAGTGCAGTGATACCACATTATGCCTGTGAAGGATTACAGTCTTTTGTATTATCTAAATAAGATATTTTTGGTTTTCAATAAACTTGATATCAGGATACACAGCAACAAGTGCATTTCTGAAGTATAAGTGCTGCATCTTTGATTATTCTGGCTAAAACTTTAATGTTACATCAGGAACATTATTACTATTCAAATGTTTTCAATATGAGTTATCAAAATGTCAGCGGACCTGAAGGAAGATCATAGCAGGCAGACCTGGGGCAAAGCAAAGCAGGACATAGTTGGTGACGAGGAATAGCCCCTGTAACATAATGAGGGGCTTGTACCTCAGGAAGTCAGTCAGGAGGAAGACGGGGAAAAGGAAGGCAAGGTAGGAGTACGTCCAGATTGGGAACAGGTAGTTGGTCACCTGTAAACAGAAAGCAACATAGAACAAGAATGCTGATCTAGAGTCACTGGTTCCTTGTCTTGTCCATGCCATGCATATCTCATTGTCAATCAAACTAGACAGCAGTTAATCTCAGATAAGTGCTCCTAAAATACTTAATGATTACAGACTGTATAGTAACTCTGCGTGAATTTTTTTGTAAATATGGGAATCTCTGTGTCTGCTGTCCTTACCACTTCTGCAGAGATGTTCTTGTGTGGTCCAATTAGGTATGGTGTGAGGAAGGGCTCTGCTACTCTGCAATTAGCAAAAAACCCATAGAGTGACAGGACAGCAGTGGGATAAGCCCAACTGGATGACTTCAGCTTTGCCCAACAGCCCATGCTTTCACCCCGGCCGGATTTCTCAGCAATCTTGTTTGTTCTTTATTTCCTATGGCCACCACGACAGTCTGACTACCTGAACTATCCCCTAAGCGCTGTGAGCTTCCCTGAAGCTATCATTACTCATCAGTAGCTAGAACATACACACATAATCTTTATGATCTACACGTGCCTTAGTCACAGTTTATGAGTGATAGACTTTGAGCTGGTAGGAAAGAGAGGGATAGCTGAAATGTGATGAAATCAGACATTCTTCAGGTTTGGTGATCAGTACAAGCCATGGGCCTTTGACAGATTATATCAGACAAGACATGAGACAATTTAAAGAGAGAAATTAAACCTTTTGTTGTTAGGCAGAGGCAGGAAAAATTAGCCTGGGAATAGGATGGCTCCCTTACAGCATAAAGGCATAGGTAACTATCATCAAGAATGTATTAGCCATTGATTAATCAGTTATATAACTTAATCTAAGAGTACAAACAGATGTACAAAGCAGTGACGTAACATTTGTTGTTTAACCTACTTCTAACACCACCATATACAGGCCAAACCCAGGGGATGTCACGTCTGCCAGTGTACTGTACTCTACTTCATCGCCTTGTGTACGTGAAAATACAGGAGCGGTAACTAATGTCCTAGATAAGGTATTTTAACCATAAACTGTTTAACCAACTTCACATTCAAGTGCTGGTTTGTTTATGTTCGTACTACGCATGCGTGATGAATGCACACGGGCACTTCGAGCGAGTCAGTCGCCATGGCAACTCTTTGTTGATATGTGTTGTGAAGACGTCTTAACACACGGCAAAATGAAACTCAAGCGGTTTCTTCTCCGATATTATCCTCCAGGTAATACACTTAAGTTAAGTTGTCCCATTTGTAACGTTAGTAAACGTTAGTTCTTTTCATGGGAATATGCTACTGCTGTAGCTTTCAACTTCGACAACAACTTGCCGTAGCCTTACATTGACTACTCTAATACTGGTAATCGGACTTATTAGCATCATATATCGCTGTTTTACAGAGCTCAGCCGGCATGAGCGGCCTTTCCTGCTCTAATTGTTTTTTTTTCTGCTGTCAGGTATAATCCTCGAATATGAGAGAGGAGGATATCTGAGGACCAAATCAATCGACCTTTTGGGTTTGACCCCAGAGTGAGTGAGATGTATCCTCTACCATCTTTACGAGTGTTATTGCTTTCCATCTCTCTTAAATACTACCATTTTATTACTTAACTTGCCAGACATATTTCCAAATAGCTCAATAACTCAGCACTCCATACAATGGTAGGGCTGATCACCAAACATACCTACACTGATCGAATGTGATAGTAAACACTATGAAGTGAAGTTGTGTTGTAAATTGTACTAGTTGCAGTAGATTTGTAGCTCCTTAAAGTGACGTACCACCAGTCCGGTTTATGTATTGTTTTATGTTTCTGATGCGATTGTGACATTTTTATAGATTAGAAAGTTGTTCTTGATACCACATTTCAAATCAATCTTGTCCTCCTGAACTGCCTTTCTATGCATAAATCTAACAAGATGAGTTGATGTTGACAAGATGTTTCCTATTCTTTTTTGGATAAAGGGCTGAGCGAATTGAATGCCTGTTAAACTGCATTTAATCTCCAACAGATCCTCTTTACATAGTTTCTGAAATCATCATTATTATGATTATCATCATATAATTTTCAGGTGTTCTTTTTTTAACATTTGATGATTAAATGATGATTGTGTAAAAAGTGCGTTTTCCCACCATGCAGAACAAACCCAGATGAGCTGGTGGCAGAGATCAGGCATTCAGAGCCTCTGGTCACAGAGTCCCGGGCTGATCAGGTCAAACAGCTGATCCTTCGACTTCAGCAGAAACAGAGCCAGCAGGACCACCACAGGTTCTGTTTCTATAAGGTCAGACACTGGACTCATTATATACAAACCAGCACCTTGTCCTGCCATCTATATTCAATAAAGTAGCTCATATTGGTTAGGACAGTGTGTTGCTAATTAATGTCCCAGGGCAGGTTGTAAAATCTATGGTACAGTTTTATGAAACAATTACAAATAGTTCTTTGTCTTTTGTGTTGGCACAAAGCCTTTTGTCACATCTATGTTTTACATCACTGAGGGACTAAAACAAATACTGTTGGATGTGTTGTTTGAATGCATTCCACACATCCAATTGAAAAGGTTTGGGATGTTGCCTTTTTTAGCAATATCATCTAATTACAGCAGTATATTAGTTTTCATCTGTGGAAATTCAGGAGTTTGAGTTGTGAAATTAGCAGTGACTTCTCCATAGAGGCACTAGAGAGCAGTAGTGGTTAGGTTACTAAGTCTTACAATTGGAAGACAGCTAACATGATAACAAAAGTGCCTGTCTTAGAGTGTTATGGAATATATAAAACACAACTGCTCAGAGGTTAGGGTATGTTTTTTTGCCTGTGTCTAAAACTGGGGAGATTCTTGTCTCTGAGCTCAGTGAGGGAAGAAAATCACTCCATCACTGTTGAGCCAGGAGGGAGACCCTTCCCATTACATCAAAGTGAGATTAATTATATATGGATGGATATTACATGCGTAATCTTAATGATGAATGAAGATAATAACTATATTGCCTTGGATGTTATATTTTCTAATCTCTGGGCTTTTTTGCAGGATCTCAAGGCACACATACTGCCACTGACAAATGTTGCCTTTGACAAATCAGGGTCAAGGTAGGTTTATATGCAACACACAAAAGTGTGGCACATTGGAGTTTTCGTTTGTTGTATTGGTATTTACATCTCTCTTTCACTCTGCAGGTTTCTAACTGGGAGCTATGACAGGACATGTAGAGTTTGGGACACGGCCTCAGGCACAGAGCTGCATACACTAGAGGGTCACAGAAACGTGGTGTATGCAATTGCATTCAACAACCCCTACGGGTAATGAGCAGTTTCAGCAAAACTTTCATAGCATTGAAGAACAGCATTGCTCTATTTGACACTATTTACATATTCAAAAGAGCATTCCATCTTAGAATTGACAGTTTCTTCGCTTTTTTTCTCTTTATTAAACTTAGAGACAAGATCGCCACCGGCTCTTTCGATAAGACCTGCAAACTGTGGTGTGCTGAGACGGGCAAATGTTTTCATACCTTTCGCGGACACATGGCAGAGATAGTATGTATAACAATCTGTTTAATCTTATATTCAAATACGGTTTACTCTGGTGTTATGTTTAGTGCTTAGATAATAAATAAGTCTCTGCCAAATCCTGTTTTTGTCCCGGCTTTGTAGCAGAATCCAACACCAGTAACTATAAAAGGGAATTTTGTATTGTGTAGGTGTGCCTGGCGTTCAACCCTCAGAGTACACTGGTGGCCACAGGCAGCATGGACGCCACTGCCAAGCTGTGGGATGTGGAGACTGGGGAGGAAGTGGCCACTCTGAATGTGAGTTGTCTTTTTTTCTTATCCCGATGCCTCAATGCTTCTCTTGCTCTTTTTTTCTGTAAGCACGGCTCACATCCATTCATTAATAATGCAGTAATTAACTATTCATTTTCTTCTTAGAGTAATTAATGCTTAAGTGAGTGTTGTTACCTCTGCTGATGGCCAGCATCTTTACCACCTCATATATGCACCCAGGGGAGTAGGGAGTCCTCTTGATGTGCAGACTGCACGTGGGTCCATAGTGTGACTGGTTGGCTGCCTGGCTCTGTCTCAATGAGGAGCAACTCTTTGCAGCTCTCTCTGTTCTTTCAGCACTTCCCACCATGAAGAATCAATCATGCTGACAGCAGTCAATTGAGCGTAGAATCTTAAGCATATGCAAATTCTTATTTATTTATTTCAAGACTTTGAACATCTACCAGTAAGGCCAAAGTCTGTATGGTTATTTTAATAAATAATAACGCCTTTTTGATGTGCATTTTCATGCATAATGGGAGATAAGAGGGAGAGAGCAAGTGAGACAGTTGTGAGGGATAATGCTCTCTCTTTGATTCCATCCAGGATCACACTGCAGAGGTCCTTTCTCTGTGCTTTAACACAGTGGGAAATCAACTTGTCACTGGCTCCTTCGACCACACAGTTGTTATATGGGATGTTGCTTCAGCAAGGTCAGACATCATAATTGTTATCGCAATGTATGCATTGATCTGTGCGTTTGTGTGTGACTTGGGCATATGTGTCATGATTTTTACTGCACAGCACATGCATAACACCTATAGATTCTGCAAACGGGAGTACACAACTGACATTATGCTGCTTTCTGTTTTTCTCAGACGTGTCCACACTCTGATCGGTCACACGGGGGAAATCTGCAGTGTTCAGTTTAACTGGGACTGTTCCCTTATAGTTACAGGCTCCATGGACAAAACCTGCAAGGTGAGCTATCATCTACCCAAAGACTTTAAAGCCTGCACGTGTGTGTGTGTGTGTGTGTGTGTGTGTGTAATTTAACTCTTTGAAATACAGTCATTTATCCAAAAAGCTTCCTTTTATAGGCTGAAAGTGTATTTAAATAGTAATAAATACCCATTGAAATAGTATCATAGTGACAGTCATTCATTTAGCTTTTTAAACTATTGCAAAAGATCGATATTTGAGAGACATGGCTCCTCTTGTCATTCATATTCACTCTCGTCCATTTCCCACTTTCCATCTCTTCCCTCTTCCTGTCTCTAAGGTCTCCATCATTTCAAGGAGAAAAATTAAATCCTAATTCCTTAATTATGCCAAGATGAGTCATGCTCACAAGAAAGAATTATCCACCTCACTGGATTCCTCGAGGGGAGATGGTTAAAATAAAGCCACTTAAGACAGCTAACAGCTACATGCAAGCATATTTTATGAGACTGTGTATATCTTTGTTCACATGAATGTGTGTGTTCCAGTTTTGTGTTTATGTGTTTAATTGTGTCACTTTTTTTGTTATGTGTATGTATTTGCAGTTGTGGGAGGCAGTCAGTGGCAAGTGTGTAGCCACCCTAGTTGGACACAAAGAAGAGGTGCTGGATGTGTGTTTTGATTTAAGTGGTCAGCTCATTGCTACTGCCTCCGCTGATGGTGAGAAAATTTAAGTTTACATTACTATTAAAGTTAAACACTTTTTCCTCACTGTGTTTTGATCTCATGCCCAAGGTTTATTTTAGAATTACAAAGAGGTCTTTTTTTCTGATGCCACAAGTCCTCCACATCCCAATATTTTGGTTCTCTTGAAGAATAACAACATTTTGACAAGTAAAAAAACTACAGTGCGTGTACACTAACGACCATGCATGTCTCTGTCAGGTAGAGCGCGAGTGTTCAGTGCAACCACACATCAGTGTCTCCTGACCCTAGAGGGCCATGATGGAGAAATCTCCAAGGTAAATCACTAGACCCAAAATGGCTATTCAGCCATATCCTGTGTGTTATTCTGTGTTATTTTATGTCACCATAGAGATCCAAAATTTGTGTTGTTTACAGGGTAGCTATAGCTTTAGCGTAGCATCAGTTTTGCAATGAAGTTTTGTTTTCAGGGTTTTCTTTTTTTTTTGTTAATCTGAAAAAATAAAACATAAGTATTTTACGTGATAAGCTAAATTGGTATCCTATTATTCTAACTTGTAACGTAGAATGCTGAAGTTGAAGGTCCAGGCTTCAGGCTGTTTGGTGCTTATTGTTTCACATAGTATAGCTCAGCAAGTCTGTCTGAATAGAGAGGTTTTTAAGCTTTTCACTACAGTGATGCTTCTGTTGATCTGACTAATTAAATCTCTAGGTTTCAAAGTAGATTTTCAGTGTTTTCTACGTACAGCTCCATGAGAGATGATAAATACCATCTATTTCATCTCTGACCATAAGTAAGCATGGTCTCACCTAGCCTTTGAGCACCAAATGTTGCGCCCATGCCATCACATGTAATCACACATGATCAAAACCCACTTTATAACCCAGTCTAACATGGCCTGTCATTGGTAAAATCAAACAAACAAATACTTTGGCATCGGGTGTGTGTGTGTTTGACCCTGCACTGATCTTGTCATTTAATGGGAGTGAATTAGTCTTTTCCAGGTTTTGTGCTGGGCATAAGTATATGTTTCCTGCAGTGGGCTTTTATGTATGAGGGGAAAGGAGCTACCTCTGTTTACTGAAACACATCAGGCAGTCAGTAATAAACAGGCTGGATGGTGGATGATTCCAGAGGATTATGACACTAATCTCTCTCTAACAGGACACTTCTCCCCTCCCCTCCATGCTTCTTAACCATGACCATATTTTTTTTTTTTTTTTTTTCTCACAGGTCTTTCTCTGTCTTTCAGTGTCTCGCTCTGTGTCTGCCCCTTGTTTCCCCCCTTTCATTTTTATTTTCATGTCGCCTCAATCTCTCCTCTTGTTACTTCACCTTGCTACCTTATTCTATTTTAAATCCTGGAAATAGAAATGCCCGAATGCATGTTTTTGTAGATTCTATGTGGTATTTCATGTAAGGAATTCACAAGACCTCTTGTTTTCAAATTTTTTGTCCCTGCTAGTAAGATGAATCCTTCCCATTTTGGATGCTCCATTGGCTTTTACTTTTAACTTCACATTGCATCACATTGTCATGGAATTTGTTAAGCACATTTACATGCAGTATTTGCCCAAAAACAGCTACAGCTATGTTGGTCGATTTAAGTCTGTCTCAAATGTTTCAAACTGCATTGAACACAGAAGCTTTAAAGGAAAAACACAGAGCCATTCAACAGGTCCAATTTTATGGACAATGACCTCGGCAGATGTACCACATATAAAAGTCAAGCAATTTTAGTATGTATACAATAACAACTTTTGCAGTGTGAAACCCATATTTAGGACATGAGATTAGAATTTGTACAGTATGTAATATAGAATTGGGATACAACTTTTGTCTTTTTTGTCTCTACCTTGTTCTTATTGTGTACTCTTTCCTGAATTTTCTTTTCTCTCCATCAATTTCAATCTGTCTTCTTTCCATTTCTGTGCCTCTCTTAGCATCCACTCATCTTCTCTCTCCGGTCTTCTATCTTAGTCAGCTTCTTCTCTAGTCAGTTTCCATTTCCTGTCTGGGGATGCTCCTTCGTGCTCAGTTTAGAGTTTTAATAAAAACACACTTTACTTTCATGGCCATCTAGAGCCAGCTTCATTTAATCATCCCTACCTTTACCTCACTGTGGGGATATAAAACCATTCATGAAACAATAAACCCTGGATTTAACATGATCAACTTCAGCCATGATTTTCATGATACTCTACTGGAAAACTCTTCACTAAGTAGCGCCATCATTGCCTTTATCCTCCTTATGTATATAAAGTTGAATGACCTGTGTGGAATAATACCGCCGACGTGGTAAAAGTCTGCTAAACCCATTCAATTCTCCCCTGCCTTTGTCATTTAAACCACATCTGGCATAATCTTGTATTCAGCACTCTCTCTTGCTCATTCTATCGCTCATGTAGCACACTTCTGAATAAGACCAACTCTCCTGACTAGAACTCTCTTGGTAGATCTGTTTCAACCCCCAGGGCAGCAGGGTTCTGACTGCCAGCTCAGACAAGACAGCTCGTCTGTGGGATGCTCAGTCTGGAGTCTGCCTACAAGTCCTAGAGGGGCACACAGACGAGATCTTCTCCTGTGTCTTCAACTACGAGGGTGACACCATCATTACAGGTATACACACACATACCATATCTGACAGCTACACATGGAGCTGACAACTGTGTGCTGATAAAATGTAGCCTTGAGCAGCTAATACACTTCCCTTTGCCAGCCCTCCCAATTGCTTGTATTGGCGCCACCTTCCTAGCTGACAGCCACAGTGTTTTTTGTAATTAAGTTGTATATATATTTTTATTTATGGTTGTTTTTTTCAATTATGTTTCTTGGTCGACCCTCAGTTTTATTTAACATTAGTGTGCTCTTCTATTTCGCCAAGTCAAATTCCTGTGTACATTGTACATTTGGAGAATAAAGCGATTTTGATTCTGATATTGCATTTTCCATGATGAAGTGTCACAGCTGTGTCCCTCTGTGCAAACCACCTGTTTGTGTTTGTGCTCTCCTGCAGGCAGCAAGGATAACACATGCCGGATCTGGTACTGACCCCTCCCCTTAACCCATCACGTGCTCAGGCGGGCATTATACATGGACACAAAAATCAATGTGTGTTTACCATGTACTGTATGACCCACTGTGTAACATCTTTAGTCACTTTGAGGTACAGTAAAAGTCTGGTTTACAGCAGATATGTGAAGTTCTAGTGGTTTTGCAAATCTGTACTGTACTAACTTGGTCCTGGGCTTGACCAGTAGACCTGGCTTTTCATTTCACATGGCATTAACAGTATGGTAAATGTCATCTCAAGTAGTTTGAATTCTTCGAGAACATTTTTGGAACGGCTTTTGGAAATATTAGAGAATTTTAGCAATTATGAGCTGGACTCACACGAGCATTACTGTAAAAGTTTGCCTATGTTTCATCTTCATGAGCCCACCATCAGCTAACAAAAGTAATAATATTTTTATATTTTTGTTCCCACTGCCTTGTATGTTTCTGTGATGTGTACAAAGCAGTATTTTCTGAAAGCACAATACAATGATGAATGTTTATTTAACAGCTTCCTAGCTCCCAAAAAGATCATATGGCTGTTGTTTTATAGTCTCACTGCATCTGTGACATGCTTTTGGGAAAACCAGGCAATATAGTGTAATACTAATGTGGATAAATGTGCTACTAACCAGTGTTCATTGCATTTCTGTTGAATGTTAAAGAAAGAGTCAGACTGCTTGTATTTCACATCACAGAAATTTATTGATGTCAAAAGATAAATACATTCAGTTCTACTGTGACAGAGTTTACAGCTGAATCGTGTGCTTTTTTTCCCAATGCTGATGTAACACTAGAGTACCACTAAGTAGAGAAATAAACAGACCAAATTCACATACAAATTCAACATTACAAACCTTACTCTGTCTTTCTGACATAGTAAAAGCTAAAGAGAGCAGTCCACTACTCCAAGGTGCAGCAGTTCCAAATCTACAGTATATACAGTACAGCTATCCAAAATAATCAGTTCTCAAGTAACATGAACAAGATGACATACTTACTTAGAACTGAATTTCAAGGTCACAACAGAGGTGGTATGTTGGCTAATGAACACAACAAAGATATGGACATTTTGCTTATGCTAAGCAAATGTGCAATTCTAATTGGCTAACAGAAGAAAGTGGGCTTTTCTGGGCTTCCATTTCAACAGCCTCTTTTACAAAGTAGTTTTGATACAAAAGGTGTGAGCATGTCAAGTTGTGGGGAGAATGGAACCTGATTTTCCTATCATCTATTGGTACTTTGCTTCCTGTGTGTTCATTTGGAATAAATAAATAAACAAACATAATTTGGTAGTGAGAATCTGTAAATATATATATTTATATATATATATAATCTAGAGCAGTTAAAACCTGCTGACTATAATCTCTTAAAGGCTGGTTCACTTCCAAGAGGAACGTCCAACCCGTATGCCTACAGTTTACTCTGCCTTTGTGTCTCACACTAGAGAGGTGAATCTGAAACAAATACATGCTTTTATTAAAGGGACACTGGTCCATTCATGGCTGCGAACAGACAAAAAGCATGACCTCCGCAGAAAAGGGGTGAGCAGTGTGAGTTTCTCAAGTATGCTGATTGCGTTGTGCTTTCAGCTTGCAGTAGGCGACACTTGGTGTGATGATACAGGGTTGGGAAAACAGTTAGGAACATGTTAGAAGTGTGGGTGAATGATTGAGCATTTGAGTTTTTGTTTGCGGGATGAGGAAGCTAATCTGGTCTACAGGCTCTCCAAAAGCCAATCAAACAGGCTGGACAGAGACCTGCCATCCTCTTCCTCTTTCTCTTTCTCATGTAGCTTACAGAACTGAACCACAGCACTGAACAAGTCTGCGATCCGCCACGCCTTCTGAGACATGAGGTGGACCACCCTCTGGAACTGAGAGAAGACACAATGAATCAAACAATAAATGCAAGGTCATCAACTTCAAGTATGTGTAAATCTTTTCTTTAAGAAATTACCAATATGTTACATAAGAGGTGATGTAATCTGACATTTTATCAAATACTGGAGCAATATACAATAAACAATATCAACAAGAATGTAAGAACATGGGAATGACCAGCAATGTCATCAGTAACAGTCTACTTTTAGTTTTTTTTTTTTATTTGTCTTCCTGTGCCTACCTTTGCAACCCTCTTCTCTTTGGACTTAATAAAGTAGAGCGCAGGTAGGCCCAGCTCGGAGGCAGCAATCCACTGCAGGGCCACCCTCAGCTCCGAGTCCACGCACTCTGGCTCGAGGTCGCAGTTTACCACCAACAGCTCCCTGAGGTTGCCACTGCCGCTTGCCGTCCTCACTGAGCTGCTCTCTGAGAGATCAAAGATGATGGGACATACTGTATTAGGAGGGCATCCCTGCATAACACACCTTGAATGTTAAGTATGTTCTCACCATCAAAGCACTGCAGGCCTGCAAAGACAGCTCTTTTTTTTTTCTACACTTGCTTGGACATCAAAAGCCAGTGTGCCAAAGCTTCACATACAATCACACAGTACGATCAGCTTCATAAAATAGAAATATCCTGAGCTCAGTTTTGCTTTGAGGTAATGTTTGTTGGAGTGTAAGTCATTAAACAAAGATGAACTTTGTGCTGAGACACTTCTGTAACTTGGGTCCTTTTAAATTATTGATGACTCTCCTTATTTCAGAGAAGAGAATCGCCTCTACTCAAGCACATCCAGTTGAGGGATTAATCACACACACCCAGCACATGCTGTACTCCGAATCACTCCAGAACTCTTGGTGAGTAGGGGGACGTTAAAGCAGAAGGAGGAGGTGAGTAATTAACAAGTTGAAAACATTGAGATGACATGAGAATGCATCACTATACTTACCAAATACATTCTCCTTAGTTCTTGCCAGATGGCCTTTCTCTGTCTCCTCACTGTGAGGGGGGAAAAAGGGATACTGGTTGAAAGTTATAGTAACATACAGTATCACTTTACGCAATAGTTCAACATTCTGAGATATATGCTTATTCACCTTCTTGCCGAGAGTTAGATGAGAAATTTGATAACACTGTTTTAATGATGAAATATGATGCTACTGACAACAGCTGGTTTGCTTAGCTTAACATAAAGACTGAAAATGGCGAAACAGCTAGTCTGGTTCAGTGCAAAGGCAACAAACTGTGCCTACCAGCACCTCTGAAGTTCACTAATTCACAAGTTACATCTTAGTTGTTGAATCCGCACAAAAACTGAAATTTAAGAACAACACACTCCGTTTTTATGGGGCTATTTCATCCTCGGCAAAATGGTGTATAAGCACATCCCTCTAAATGTTGAACTATTCCTTTAAGTATATATATCATACTGTTAATCTGAATGTGTTTAAAACTTTACAGTTAAGATATATATGGGAGAGAGTAGAACAGAATAGTAGAAATGCAGCAGACTGTAGATGCTTTTGTGTCTGTTAAACAGAACTTTGTTATCTGCGGTAGAATGACAACAGAATATGCAATTAGCTATCATCATGTTAGTCCAGCAGCCTGTCACAGTCATGTGTCACCGGATTGCTGTGCACTGCATGAGGACATGAGAAAAAGCAATATACTTTCTGTCGTATTAAAAAAATGTCATTATGGGCATCAGAGTGACACATTAATGAGAAATATTTCAGCACTGGCCTGTGACAGTTACCTGATTACTGTGCTCTGAGTGGGCACATCAGAAAAAGTATCTAGGTCTGCCAGGCCTAGACTGGATGCGCTGCTGGTCCCGTTCCTGTAAACCAATAAAAATGAAGAGATAGCGTCATTTGCATGTCCTCTTAAGACATCGGACACAATTGCTGACTTGTGAAGAGAACAATAACCAGGTGCAGTGATGCAGGTCATGTTTTTCGTTAGCTGGTGATTAACATATAAATAGCGGCTGCAGCAGAATTGGACGCTCAAGGTGGGAGAGCTGGTGATTTTTGTTTGGCAGCAAGCCTGTCTGAATGAGGATGAGGAGAGTTTGAGGCAGTTTAGGGGGGATAGGGTGCACAGTCAGGGGTGGTGGCAGCCACGCCCTTGTGTCACAACATGGATCAGAGATGAGGTGGAGTTAAATTAAGCAGGTAGATGGAGAGGTTGCAAGGAGCAGCAAGTGTTATGGTGGTGCACAGCTACCCTTGCAGCTGATTAAGCAACAAGCTGATATTTCATATCATTGCCACACTGAGCACATGGAGCCCTCCAGCTTCCCCTTTCCTCTTGAATCTACACATGTCAATGCCTGTAGAAATAAATGCATTTGAACATGCAGTTTAATTAACTTATTTGGTCCATTATTATGGCACCTGTTTTATAAGGCAAAGAGAAAGCAGACTGACTACTACTATTAGCTTATTTCAACTAGTGAGCACAGAGCAGTGACTCCACTCTATTTCGTAAAAGTTGAAAAAGTTGGTGTAGTTAAAACAAATGAGAATTTGATGAGCAGAGAATGGTGTTGCAAATGTTCTGCTCTAGAGGGCTTTTGATGTGAGCGATCACAGCCCTGTTCCACTGCAGCCCAATACTGCAGGTAGTTGTGCGTGGGGTGCAGGCAGAGTCTAGCAGAGAGGGTTTTGTGGAGTGACATATCTGCCATACACCACCTCAGCAGGCGTGGATATTGCAGCAGCAGGGAGTAAATTGGCATTAGCACAGGAGAGCGCAAGTGTCAGTAGCAATGGGCCAATGAGAGTGGGGGTGAGGGTGAGAGTGGCAGCGTTTGGAGCAGCATCAAGGAGCAACGGTTACTGACCCCTCGCTCAGCTGGATAAAACTACTGGTCTCCTCGTGGGGATCATCCTCAGGGCTTATATGGGACCAGCTTCCCATGCTCTCTTCACTGCTAGCACTCATAGAACGCTTGTCACTCTTCACTACTGCAGCCACCGCCACAGCTGGCCTGTCCCTCTCACTGCTGGGGAAAGCAAACCGCAAGATGGTGGGAAAACCATCGACCAGATGTGCACAGTGTCTGCTGTGATGTGTGGTTAGCGTTGGCTGTTTTTTTCAGTGTTGTTCCTCCTCAGCAAACATTAAGTTTTGTTGTAACTAAAATACATTTTAAAAGGTAGTATTGGCACAGTTTCTGCCCTAAAAATGATAGATAGTACAGTAACTTCATACAAATGACAAGCCTTTGCAATCTGAAATAACTATGCACTTCATAAAAAGAAAGCTAATTCATTCCAATATCTTTACTGTGTCAGCAAACTGCATTCCCCTGAGGCACTGTTGGATTTTCAGTTTCTTTTTCAGGAAGCTGATTAAATTAAAGACATAATCAGATGATTGAGGGCTGCCATCCTCGACAATTCCAGAGGGAAATCAGGTTTTATTGACTAGGCGAGTGATTGAGTTCCACACTTACACAAGGGACAAACAGATGCACTCCACTTGTTCCTGGATTACATGTATTGTCAAGTAAAAAGGAACACATCTTTTGACTCTGCCGTGCTGTGGGAGCTGTTTTTCCTCTCATTCACTATTGAACATGTCTTATTTTGAGCATCTAAATTTCTTTAAAACAAAATACAAAATACTATTAGATTACAACTGATTTCTCACATCTTGATTTGTTGCTTTCCTCTATGTAATCCCTCTTGCTCGTTTGCATCTCTTTCCACTTCAGCAGGTTCCTTTGATTCCAGACTGAGTTGCATCATGGATTCCTCTAGTCTTCATTACCCCCAGAATATCTATTAAAACGTCTCCTGGGAGAGTCTACGCTCTGCTGCCTCCTCTGAAAGTCCACTCAGACACTGAGATTTTAGAATTAGAGTGAATCTTGCCACCTTGCTGAGCCCTTGCTAAAATGTCAGTGGTTTGAATAAGACATGTAAGACTGGCCATATCTAACAATGTACTAATCAGAAGGATTACATACACTTATTACACATGAGTTGACTTAATATGAACACCATTCTTCAGCTAACCTGCTGCTAAACAACTTAAGCAACTCAAGCAAGCTTTCATCTAATGCGACCCTTGTTATTTTAGCTGTGTCACTGCAATCTAGATACCTATAAGTGTCAAGTGGTTTTAGTGTGTTAGACAAGCGTGGGTGCAGATTGTACTGATCAAGGTGAGTTCAACAGCCCCACAGCGGATAAAAGATGAAGCCACTAAAAGCTTTCTGCACACACAGTACATCACCCAGACAGTGTGAGTCACAGCCTAGCCAAAGGTTTGTCAAACCCCACACACTGCTAAAATAGATTAGTTTTCCTTGGGAGTAGATCCTTGGTGTGCCAGTCACTCTTTGATCAACCTTTACAAAATACCTTTGGTAAACTTGGACAGTTAGATGTTATTTCTTTAGTACTGATTTTCTGTTATGTTTATTGTTCATCTTAAAAATAACCATGTGATTCTTCATTTTTTTCTCTTACTTGTGTCACATAGATCAGTATCTACTCTTCACATCTACAGTGTGATGATTCTGAAAAAGCAGATTCTGCCAGAAGGAGGGGTCTGACTGTCAGGACAGGACTGTGAACAGTGTAATACCTGCTGCCGCTGGCTGTAGCTCTCTCTGCATGCTTGGTAGCTGACATGTCTGGGGGTGTTTCCTGAGGTCCTCCTTCAGGCCTTTCAAGGTTTGAAGGGGTCTCCTCATCCTTCTGATCTCCCTCAATGTGGATCAGTGGTACATCTCTGGGGCCCCTCATGCGGGGTGCACTGCTGTCACTAGTCCCTGACCCTACTCCAGTACCAGCTTGCTCCTGGCTTGACCGACTGCGACTGCAACTTAGATGAGATTGTTTGAACCCCCTCCTTCTTTCACCAACAGGCATGTGTGATCCAAGCATTCCCCCAGCTACATCTTGCTGGCCCCCAAGTGCAGACTTGCCAATATCCACTATGTCAGCTGCCAGGCGATTGGCAAACTGCTGCACATGGGGCTGGGAGTCTCCTGCAGCCTCCAGCTCAATACTATCCTCGGGATCAGCAATGATCTTATTCTTTCTCATCAAGGACTCAATGGAGCTTGACCAGGTCTCATGAATCAGCATATCAGTTATCTGGTCAGTCTTACCCCTTTGATAGAGGCAGGAGTCTGACTTACACAGTCCCATGGCTGACACTGAGTTGGTGGGGTAGATATTCAGCGTGTCTCCATGCACATTGCGGGCGAATCCATCAAAAGAGTTGGCTTTAATGGGTGAGTTGACAGTCAGCCGTGAGTCTGAGGAGCGCCGGTCTGGGACAGAAGACTGTCGTATGCAGAAGGGTGTCCTAGGAGAAGGGGGAAACAGACTGTTGCTCCATTCTTTAGTCTTAGCAATGCCATACTCTTTGTTTTCCTTATCCATGTCCCGAAGCATAAACCTGTAGAACTCCTCTGTGATGCTCTCTGTGCTGGACTGTTTGGACAGGCAGGATGAGGCCCTGACATTAAGGTGACCATTTTTCTTTGATGCAGCCTGTTGCACAGCTGCGGTCAGAATGCTGCTGGCATTTTTCCCTGCGTAGTAGTCCAGCAGAAGGTCAAAGCCCCTGCCCTCAGTCTCCATCTGGTTTACCATGAACCGTGAGAACTCATCAGTGATGCTCTCACAGCTGGACTGCTTAGAGATTGAGCTGCCACGACTCAAGTTCTGACCTAACCGACTGCCAGGCCCCAGTGTGTTGGGTGTGCCTGAGGGGTCTGCGTCTTCTTCTGGAATGCTCTCATAACTAGATGCCTTCCCACGGCTCCATCTCTCACATTGCAACCTGCTGCGTGGCTGGCCTGCTTTGGATGTATCTACCACATTAAGCTCAGGGCAGTTCATGATCCTAGCTGTGACTTCTGAGGCAAAGAGGGCAAATGGGTCCTGTGGTTCATCGGGGTTGACCGACTCGTCCACCACCCGGTTCACAAGCCGCTCCATCAGTTCTGGTTGCTCCTCTGTTTTTCTCTTGATCTCACTGAGGCGTGGCGCCCGATGCTTCTTGGAGGCAGCATTGCTGCTCTGACCCTCTTTCCTCCTGAGCACTGTGCGGCAAGCGGGGATGACGTAGGCTTCTGGGCCTTCAGTAGATGCCCCTTTTAGGGCACAGAACCAGGGTTGTTTCCCAGTGGAGTTCTCCAGGCAGATGGCTGCTAATTCTGTGGCCATAGACACCACTGTAGCAGCCAAATCATCAGCGTAGCAGGTAATAGGTGTCCTGGATTCTGAGTCCATTCGAAAAGAGAGCAGAGAACTGCAAGAATTGATGGAGGACTGGGGCGTGAGGGAGGACTGCCTGCTGTCACCTCCTGTCACTAGTCGTCCCCGCCTGTCGGTGCTATGAACTGGGATTTCACTCAAAGGTTCTCTGATGGCCCCACTGCCCTGCTGGATCAGCTGGTGGTCAGCGAAGTCCTTGGCAGGCAAGGAGGTGGATTTAGACTGACTTTGTCTGCACAACAACTGCTGCTGTTGCTCTTTGCTGTGTGCTGTGGAGGAAGATACAAGATCACTTTCCTCAAGCATATATTTCTCCTTCAGCCCAGAAACCATGGTGAACTTATCTGTGAAGTTCAGCGTGCCACTGTGGTTCTCACTATTAATGGACTGGCTATGGCCAACTAACCAGTGTAACTGACTTAATGGATCCTTGCTCTCCTTGGTCATAGCAGGCTCCCTAGCACAAGTATCACCCTCTTGTGTCTCAACTGACCCTTGGTCAAATCTAGAGATGTGACTGATTTTCTTCTGTGTCAGGCAAAGGATATCAAACAGCAAATTGTTTACACTGTCCTGCAGACAAACCTGAAGGCTTGGTGCATCTTTTCCAGTCCCCTCCAGTTCTTTTTTTTTTTTTGCTTTCTCTAAAGCATGCTTAAATAGGCTGTCTGCAACCTCATTTATTAAGTCATCCACCTCTCTTTCATCCATGTAGGATTTTTTTGGACAAGTAATGCCATCTACTATCTTGTTATGTGTGGCCTCCAGCAAGTGAGCCACACTCCTGTAGCCTTGTGGCTGAGTCAGCACCTCTGCTGCTTCCCTGTGCAGGACTTCAGCAATGTTGGCACGGAATGCTTCAACACTGGTACCCTGTGACACACTGCAGTGCAGTGTGAAGGCTGCAGAGGCCTCGGCAGCAGACATCAGGCCGTGGGATGCTGTGTAGACATCGGCGGAATCTGCGTCAGAATTGCCTCCCTCCCCTGACTCCTCTGTTATCTCCACAGCTGCTACAGCACCAGCTACCTGAGCTACGCCACACATGGCTGAGGAGAGGGAGTAGTCACCACGCTCTTCTGGGTCCTGTAGTTCCTCCTCTGTGTCCTCCTCTGAAGCAGATTCCATGGTGAGCTGTTCTGTCAGCTGTGGCGTAGTGATGGTACCAATAACACTGGCAGCACAGGCCAAAGCCACTTCTACATGTTTGGAAGAGTGCCCTCTGTTGTGGTGGGGAATGTGAGCCTGTGTCCCATTCTCTGGCACCTCTCTGGCTTTGGCAGTGAGATCCTGGTCGGGCACATGAGACACCTGGGTCTCTGGCCATTCTGCAGCTCCGTCAGAGCTGTCTGGGCTTTGAACTATAACAATCTTGGGGAGTTCAAAAGAGCATGTACGCTGCTTGGAAGGCTCTTTGGTCTTTGAAGGACCACTGGAGTTGGATGGACAACTTGCAAGGGACACGCTGACAGCAGCCTCAGAGACAAAGGAGGTTTCATCTTGAGAGAGGCGTATGAAGGCGTCTTGTAGTACTGACTCAGCCAGATTGGTGGCGTAGTGACCAGCTGATTCCTTAGTCTTGAGGCTTGCTCGCTGATGCCCTTCTTTTTTCACCTCAGGGTCCTCCCTGCTCTGATGATGGGCCAGCTGTCCCCTCTGACATGCTAGTCTGACACAATGTTTCTGCGCAACCTCTACCAAGCTCTCTGCCAGATCACCACTCTCTGGGTCTGTGAACAGAGGGAGGGGGAAAACAGAGAAACACAGGGAATGAGAAATGTCCACTCTGATTACAAAGTAGCTCCATCAGTTTCCAAAGAGTCACAGCAGGAGTAGAATATTGCCCTTTACCCTTCACTGAGCTGGGTTATGTCTTGTTTGTCTCATTCAATTTCCCCTTGGACAATATTTCAGATAATTATTTTCATCTAACACATTTCATGAATGGGGTAACACGGTAGCAATAAATATATACTTCTCTATTCTCAGTCACTATAGAAATCTTTCAGTGGTAGTTATAACACTGCCTTGGTAGTTTTGTTGCAACTACAGGATTCAATGCCACTAAATATGCTGTATTCATTTTTTAACTGGATGTTTGCTCAAACAGGATTAAAATAGGATTTACAATATTAGAGTGAGCTCTAGTTAGATGTCAGTAATTATGTCAGTTGTGGACTAGATAGACACACATGAGCCGTACCGGGGACCCGGGCGCACGGTGGCTCGCAAGTGCCTTGCGCGCATTTAATGTTATAAACATTCAATGAGCACACACTTAACAATGAACCCGTCGTGTGTCAACACTTTAACCACTGCTGCATCATTTACATACAGCAGGGTAACCATCTCAATGTGAACATTACATTGACTCAATGTAGAGCTGGCTGTGTTACATCTTATTTCTGACACAGGTATAAACATGTAAACATTTCAATTGAAAGTAAATGAAGAGCGTACGATCCACATGCACTGCGCTTGATAGACTTCATGTACTACTTGTTTTTTAAGCTTTTAAAGATGACCTTAAAATCAGGATTAAACTTCTGTTTTTCTGCCCGATTCCTTGGTTGTTTAAGGAAGATGCCATAACATCAAAGTATTTTTGGAGAAACCTTTTCATGCTGCACAGTATGTGATCAACATTCTATCTCTAAGGTTTTGAATGGACAGTTTGCTGACTCAAGATGTGAATAGTTGCAAATGTATCACAGGAACCCTGTGAGGCTGTTCAGGCCAACCATGTTTACACAATGTACAGATGTAGGATGAATTCTTTAACCACTAGGTCGTTGTGCACTGTGTCACACAAAGGACAGAAAGGGTCCTTGAGGCAACTATAATGAATGAAGCTTTTAGAGACAAAATTGACATTTATATAAAAGCTTAAATAAATTAGTGCATAAGTTAAAGCATTTTTTCTAGCAACTACGATTATTCACGATATAAATAGGAATTTATCAGGATGAAGTAACATGACTTTTTGAAAATTAAAATTGTAGCTAGATTCAAGGGCATAGTTTTGGTCTTAACATTGGTAGGGAAGCAACAACCCCACCACCCCTCATAAAAAAAAAAAAAGATGTTGACTTTAAGGCATAAAAAGGCGTAAAAACATCATAGTATAGTAAAGCATAGAAAAGTGATAGTATAGTAAGGCATTAAAAGTCACGAAAAAGTCATGATAGTAAGGCAAAAAAAAGTCATAGTATGGTAAGGCATCAAATGAGATTATATTGGAAGGAATAAAAATGTCAAAAAACGTCATAGTATAGTATGGCATAAAACGTCATAGTATGGTAAGGCATCAAATGAAATTGTATAGTTAGGCCTAGAAATGCCAAAAACAATGTCATAGTATAGTATGGCATAAAACGTCAAAAAAACATCATAGTATATTAAGGCATAAAAGGTCATAAAAACGTCATAGTATGGTAAGGCATCAAATGAAATTGTATAGTTAGGCCTAGAAATGCCAAAAACAATGTGATAGTATAGTATGGCATAAAACGTCATAGTATGGTAAGGCATCAAATGAAATTGTATAGTTAGGCCTAGAAATGCCAAAAACAATGTGATAGTATAGTATGGCATAAAACGTCATAGTATGGTAAGGCATCAAATGAGATTATATTGGAAGGAATAAAAATGTCAAAAACCGTCATAGTATAGTCTGCCATAAAATGTCAATAACACACCTTAGTGTATTAAGGCATAAAAGGCCATAAAAACGTCAAAGTATGGTAAGCAATACAACGGTATAGTATAGTCAGGCCTAGAAATACCAAAAACAACGTCATAGTATACTATGGCATGAAATATCAAAAAAACACCATAGTATATTAAGGCATAAAAGGTCATAAAAACGTCAAAGTATGGTAAGCAATACACCGGTATAGTATAGTCAGGCCTAGAAATACCAAAACCAACGTCATAGTATACTATGGCATGAAATATCAAAACAACACCATAGTATATTAAGGCATAAAAGGTCATAGTATGGTAAAGAATAAAACAATATAGTACAGTAAGGCATAAAAATGCCAAAAAAACGTCGTAGTATAGTATGTCATGAAATGTCAAAAAAACACCATAGTATATTAAGGCATAAAAGGCCATAAAAACGTCATAATATGGGTAAGGCATCAAATGAAATTGTATTGGAAGGCATAAAAATGACAAAAAACGTCATAGTATAGTATGGCATAAAAATGTCAAAAAACGTCATAGTATAGTATGGCATAAAATGTCAAAAAAACATCATAGTATATTAAGGCATAAAAGGTCATAAAAACGTCATAGTATGGTAAGGAATCAAATGAAATTGTATTGGAAGGCATAAAAATGACAAAAAACGTAATTGTATAGTATGGCATAAAAATGTCAAAAAACGTCATAGTATACTATGGCATAAAATGTCAAAAAAACATCATAGTATATTAAGGCATAAAAGGTCATAAAAACGTCAAAGTATGGTAAGGAATCAAATGAAATTGTATTGGAAGGCATAAAAATGACCAAAAACGTCATAGTATAGTATGGCATAAAAATGTCAAAAAACGTCATAGTATAGTATGGCATAAAAATGTCAAAAAACGTCATAGTATAGTATGGCATAAAAATGTCAAAAAACGTCATAGTATAGTATGGCATAAAAATGTCCAAAAACGTCATAGTATAGTATGGCATAAAAATGTCAAAAAACGTCATAGTATAGTATGGCATAAAAATGTCAAAAAACGTCATAGTATAGTATGGCATAAAAATGTCAAAAAACGTCATAGTATAGTATGGCATAAAAATGTCAAAAAACGTCATAGTATAGTATGGCATAAAAATGTCAAAAAACGTCATAGTATAGTATGGCATAAAAATGTCAAAAAATGTCATAGTATAGTATGGCATAAAAATGTCAAAAAACGTCATAGTATAGTATGGCATAAAAATGTCAAAAAACGTCATAGTATAGTATGGCATAAAAATGTCAAAAAACGTCATAGTATAGTATGGCATAAAAATGTCAAAAAACGTCATAGTATAGTATGGCATAAAAATGTCAAAAAACGTCATAGTATAGTATGGCATAAAAATGTCAAAAAACGTCATAGTATAGTATGGCATAAAATGTCAAAAAAACATCATAGTATATTAAGGCATAAAAGGTCATAAAAACGTCATAGTATGGTAAGGAATCAAATGAAATTGTATTGGAAGGCATAAAAATGACAAAAAACGTCATAGTATAGTATGGCATAAAAATGTCAAAAAACGTCATAGTATAGTATGGCATAAAATGTCAAAAAAACATCATAGTATATTAAGGCATAAAAGGTCATAAAAACGTCATAGTATGGTAAGGAATCAAATGAAATTGTATTGGAAGGCATAAAAATGACAAAAAACGTCATAGTATAGTATGGCATAAAAATGTCAAAAAACGTCATAGTATAGTATGGCATAAAATGTCAAAAAAACATCATAGTATATTAAGGCATAAAAGGTCATAAAAACGTCATAGTATGGTAAGGAATCAAATGAAATTGTATTGGAAGGCATAAAAATGACAAAAAACGTCATTGTATAGTATGGCATAAAAATGTCAAAAAACGTCATAGTATACTATGGCATAAAATGTCAAAAAAACATCATAGTATATTAAGGCATAAAAGGTCATAAAAACGTCATAGTATGGTAAGGCATCAAATGAAATTGTATTGGAAGGCATAAAAATGACAAAAAACGTCATTGTATAGTATGGCATAAAAATGTCAAAAAACGTCATAGTATACTATGGCATAAAATGTCAAAAAAACATCATAGTATATTAAGGCATAAAAGGTCATAAAAACGTCATAGTATGGTAAGGCATCAAATGAAATTGTATTGGAAGGCATAAAAATGACAAAAAACGTCATTGTATAGTATGGCATAAAAATGTCAAAAAACGTCATAGTATACTATGGCATAAAATGTCAAAAAAACATCATAGTATATTAAGGCATAAAAGGTCATAAAAACGTCATAGTATGGTAAGGCATCAAATGAAATTGTATTGGAAGGCATAAAAATGACAAAAAACGTCATTGTATAGTATGGCATAAAAATGTCAAAAAACGTCATAGTATACTATGGCATAAAATGTCAAAAAAACATCATAGTATATTAAGGCATAAAAGGTCATAAAAACGTCATAGTATGGTAAGGCATCAAATGAAATTGTATTGGAAGGCATAAAAATGACAAAAAACGTCATTGTATAGTATGGCATAAAAATGTCAAAAAACGTCATAGTATACTATGGCATAAAATGTCAAAAAAACATCATAGTATATTAAGGCATAAAAGGTCATAAAAACGTCATAGTATGGTAAGGCATCAAATGAAATTGTATTGGAAGGCATAAAAATGACAAAAAACGTCATTGTATAGTATGGCATAAAAATGTCAAAAAACGTCATAGTATACTATGGCATAAAATGTCAAAAAAACATCATAGTATATTAAGGCATAAAAGGTCATAAAAACGTCATAGTATGGTAAGGCATCAAATGAAATTGTATTGGAAGGCATAAAAATGACAAAAAACGTCATTGTATAGTATGGCATAAAAATGTCAAAAAACGTCATAGTATACTATGGCATAAAATGTCAAAAAAACATCATAGTATATTAAGGCATAAAAGGTCATAAAAACGTCATAGTATGGTAAGGCATCAAATGAAATTGTATT